GACTCACATACTGTCCTTTCTCACTGAGTTTAGCAAACTCAAATTTTTTATTCCTCTTTTCAATAACAGCTACATGATTCTTAAAAATGTAACCTGCTTTTTGCATATTCTTCACAGAATATTAATTACCGTTCAATTCAAGCACATATAACACATCTTTAAGTAATATTTCTCTTCCATTTAATGTTCCAGGTACTGTACCAATACCTTCTACCTTTAAAACATCATTTTTCGAAGCACATGCAACAAGTTCCAGAAAAAGGTTTAATTTCTTCAAACCACTCACCTTTATTACACATGTGTGTAGATGCTCCAGAATCCAGAATGAAATTTCCAACAGGCTCGCCAAACCATGAATGTTACTGCAGCCGATTCTCTGTAATCTGATTTATGCTTAAATCTGCAATCCTTCTTGTAATGCCCTGGGCGTCCACATCCAAAACAAACTAATTTTTTCTTGCAAAGCTTGGTAATATGACCTTTACTTTTACATTTGTGGCAGATGATATCACGCTTATCAGCGCTAAAAGCTACGTTATTACTTGAGCCAGAAACACACGAGAATCGTAAGAATTTCTCTCACCTTGCAATTCTTCAGCATTCAAGAGTCCTTTGCATAACAAAGTCCAGCGTAAGCATTTCATTTGGCTGGTTCTCAATCGTCGATTTAATAATGTCGTACTCAGCAGGTAGCGACATCAACAAATAAATAATCACACATCCATATCTTTGACTTCAGCACCCGAGAGTTGCAGTTCATTTACGATCGCCAACAGTTCCGTTAATATGTGACTGCATACTGCAATCTCGGCGTTTCTTCAGTGTCGATAATTTCTTTCGTACTAATATTTGACTAACTGCACTCACCTTATATTTATTTTTTAAACTCACTCAGGTATTTATTCTTTAAACTGCTCCAAATTTCACATGCAGAAGATTCACTCGACATGGTCGCCAATATGGCATCATCTAGAAGGGTTAGCAGCAATGCGTAAGCCGTTTTTTGCATCTTTGATTTCAGCAACTTTCGTTTCATCCGCTTCAACGTCTAAATATTTATCAAGTTCTTTGGCTGCAAAGACACAGCTCAAACACGGCGCTTAAACAGAGAAAAGTTTTTAAATTTTTAAACGGCTCAACACAATACTTTGTGTTCTCATCACGTGCTGCTCATTTCAAATTTCACTTAACGCGCGATTCCGTTCCAAACAAATAAGTTCCACAAAACAAATATAAATGCTTTTGCCTCTAGCGTGTTCAATATCAGAACCACGCTCTGCTGTAAAAGATTTAAAAAGGTGAATCAGAGGCCGATGATAAGGGATTATACATTAATTTTAATTATTATATACATTAATAACTATTATATGCATTAAATTTACCATCTATAAATTGATTATAATATTCTTTGTATTATATGTACACAGCATCGAAGTTTGCCGATTTCGCTTATGCAAAGACTTCCAGTTTCGGATTCCGGTGTTAAAATCACTGTTGCTGTAAAATTTCAACAGCTTTTCTTTATTTTTCCGCATATCATACACAATCGTGTCGCAATTCCATACCATTCTGCTATAAATCGACAAGTAGCACCTGCCTCCAGCTTTTGCAGAATTTGCACTTTTTGTGTTACCGTCAATGCAACGTGTTTATGTTTTTCAACGTTGCAAGCAGTAAAATCATGAGTGCTTTTCTTATCTGTCATTGTATTAAAAAGTGTTGAAATTTAAAATATTCTTAATTTATCCACAAAATATCAGGATTTAAAAAAAAAAGGCAACAGTAAACAATCTTGTGAAATAACAATGCTCAGGAAATACAACAACGTGAATTGTGAACTTGAACGAAGAGTTGAGTGAATCGTCTGCTTTTTTATCTCAATGCAGAGATTAGAGGGGAAAACTTTTAGCTCATTTTTTAACTTTTTTTATGTCAATAATTTGGTATTTCCTTTATGACTCATTATTATTCAGTAATTATGACATCATTATTCGGTAAGTATTTTTCTTCAACATTTCGTACTCAATGTTGCGGTTTCCGGAACCTATAAACTGAATGTTTATATTTTGAGAGGCAACGCGGATTTCAGGTCGGCGGACTTTCGATATTTGACTGTATTTTAAAATCATATGGTATAACGAATTTCAATTTATATATTAAATTATATTACAGGGTATTTGTAAGAACCAAAGCATATTATTTGCTTTTATTTTGTTCAGTAACGTGAATTTTTAATTCTGTAATATTGAGGTAGTAATTCAGATTTTTTTTAATTGCACTCTATAATGATCTGAAGTGTTGCCAATAAGTTTTCTACAGTAGTCCATAGCTTTTATTTAAGTGATGAAGCAAAACTGGAAGAATGTGCAAAATACATTTTTGGGGATTTACAGTATTAAAGAGCATTCCTAGTAATGCAAACTCATAAAAATTTCAAATGTGAACTTTCAAAGGAATCCATATCTAAATAATAAACAGTTTTGTAGAACTATAAATAATAATTTTAAAATAGAAAAATATTCATTCTTTTACAGACTATTTTGACAGAGACTATAAAATTATGACTTTAAAAATAATCATTCGATTTCATAATATTACTGAAAAGTTAAAAGTCTATTCTGATGCTCTTTCTGAAATACATTATTTGAAATAACAGAAAATAGATAACATTTAAAAGATCCATTTATATTTCAAAAAATAGTTTATTTAAACAATGATGATACAAAAATGCATTTCTTTCTCTCAACATATAAAAGCATAAAAGCAGTTAAGAAAATATTAATCAATTTAAATATTTACATGTACAGGGATTAAATTCCACATAATATATATTTACATGCCTTTTTATTTAAATGCTTGATTTAAAATGTAAGAATTTCTGTCTGTAATAAAATTGATACATCAAGCAAACACATTGAAAATGTTCCCAGAAAATGATCTTCATTTTCTTCATTTAAAATAATTCTTAGAAATATTCCTTAAAACCTAAGATAATAAAGGACACTTAAGACAAATGAATATTAAGGAGCTTAACAGTTTCATGTAATTAAATATTATAAAAAGCTGCAATTTTCATTAAAAATCTCACCAGAAACAAGGAGTAAACATCGTGGACAGGTTGAGTACTATCTATATTCTTCTCTTCAGAAAGAGCATTTTTGATTTCATTCCATAAAATTTCGGGGTTAATAGCCGAAGTACAAGGGCATCTAGAATATATCACAATAGTACATCAGCACTTACATTTAGCAAATGTGAGGCTATCAAGTATATAAAGAAGAGCTAAAATGTATAGAAAGTACAATATACTTACTAAGCCAAAGATCATAATAAATATATACAGTCAAAAGTCGTTAACCTTTTGAAGACGGGATGGCCATTATAGTGGCCATAGAGTCCTCTCTTTGAAAAGACAGGTTGTCCACTTTAGTGGCCTTGTCTTTTTCCCCTATTTTCCAGGCTGAAAAGTGGGGTGAAATGTCAAATTTGACATCCCTAGGGTTTTAACCCCTTATCTCTTTCAAAGGTCTTTCTTTTGCGACATAGATGCACCCCTCTGAGAATCCATTAAACTACACACAAGAATCTTTGTTGCAAATAGGAGGTGATTTCTTAAAGGGGGGAAAGCATTCGGTTCAAGATTCCCCATCCTTTGGTAGCTTTTACTACTTCCAAAGCCCCGACCTTAAAAGGATAATCCGGACTCGTCGGGACTTTGGCGATTCCGGATTATCGATCATCAGTTTAAATCTGGTAAGATGGCATGCAGGAATTATAAAATTAAAAATATGAAACCGTAATTTATGAAATAAAGAACAATTATGATCTAAAGGGTATCAAAATTTACAAAAAAAAAGCTTAATATTTATTTGTTTACTTTATTAAACATTTCTTTCAATGTAAAATGTTTAAGTTGCTTCGTTTTTTATGTGATAATACTTCTCTTTTAATTCTATAAATAGACATAATTTCTGTTCAGTTACAAAGTTCCGCTGTTCAAGTCCTATAATTGCTGTGTCTACCGACTAATTTGTCAAGAGAAATTTTTTCGTTTCAATAACCTCTGTCACTTTCCTCGCTATTGGAAGCGAATTAATGACGAGGAATTGATTTAAATCGTATCAAAGACGGAGTAAATTGAGATGAAATACTACATTTAGTAAGGAATTATAAGCCAAATAAAATAAAAACATCGCCCTGAAGATAAGGATAGTGCTGACAGATCACCTTCCATTCACTTGCGCCCAGCGTTAAAGATAAAAAGTTTAGATAACAAACGTTAAAGTTTAGATAAACAAAGGATATGCCTTTCCATTTTTTGCAGCATTCCACTTTTTGTTTAATGGACTTACTTTGGAAACATACTTTTGCTTTGTAGATCCTTTACATATTAGTAAATATATATCAGAAATTCTATTTGACATAATCGAAAGTTCAAGCTTACTTTCATAAAATTGCTCTAACAGTCTGCAAAAAATAATAAGCCGGATCCAGTTCGAAGATTAAGGAACAATGCAATCTGCAACATTAACTGAAATAGAAATTTTTAGCTTAGCTTATATCGTCCATTATACATTAAACGTGCATTCGTAAACGTAATTTGCACACACATATTCGCAGCCGTAAAGGTCTTATGCGCATGCGTCAACGCGACGCAATGCGCAGAAAGTTTGTAGCTTTGAGGTCTGGATTATAGATCATTCCGGATTATGGGTGTCCGAATTAACGACTTTTGACTGTAATTATGTAATATTTACATGCTATAAAAATACTTAATATGAAATTATAGTTATATATTGTTAAAAATAACTTATTTCAAATTTTGCACTTTTTTTCAAGCAGTATTTTACACATTCAGAAGTAACACAACTGTTGAACATGGCCTTAAACTTATTCTAAATTTATTCCATTTACTTAAGAAATTTTTCAACTACTACAATTTTATATGCACCCATTTATTTAAATCAAATACAGTCAAAAGTCTTTAATCCGGACTCGTCGGGACTTTCGCGACTCCGGATTATCGATTTTTCCGGATTATAGATCATCAGTTTAAATCTGGTAAGATGGCATGCAGAAATTATAAAATTAAAAATATGAAACCATAATTTATAAAATAATGAGCAATTATGATCTAAAGGGTATCACAATTTACAAAAAAAAAAAAAAAGCTTAATATTCATTTGTTTACTTTATTAAACATTTCTTTCAACACGAGCATGCGTAAAGCATACATTACGCATAGCCAAAATTAGAAAATTGCAACCAGAAAACTATTTGATTTGTATTCGTGATATTTATAATGACGAGGAATTTGATTTAAATTATATCAAAGACGGAATACATCGAGATCAAACACTACATTTAGTAAGGAATTATAAGCCCAAGAAAATAAAAACATCTGCCCTGAAGATAACGATAGTTCTGACAGATCAACTTCCAGTTCATTGCGCGCTGCGGCGCCCCCCCCCCTCCTCAGAGCAGCATGAAATTGATAAACAGATTTCGGAATGTTTAGATAAACAAAGGATATGCCTTTATCCATTTTTTAAAGCAATTCCACTTTTTGTTTGATGGACATCGAAACATACTTTCGTTTTGTAGATCCTTTCTGAGCTCCAGCATCGGAAATTCTATTTGACATAATCGAAAGTTCAAGCTTACTTTTATACAATTGCTTTTATAGTCTGTTGGAAAATATAGCTTATTTTTAAACCTTTTACTGCATCATCTCTCCTCCTTGAAATGTTTATTTAATTTAGTCCTTATTTTAATGTAATATAGTAGTTACTTCTACTTCTTTTTCTTGCTGCCACTGTTTGCATTGAGAACGGACTGTTTCAACCTAATTGAGATGCAAAAACGAAACATGATGTTACGTCATCTGAAAAGCCGATTCGTGCCGATAGCTGATTGGTTGCCGTGAGATGACGTCATTCCTACTTCTGCTATAAGTATCTCGTGTCGCTCTGGCTCAACCCTTCTAGTTCCTGCTTTCCTGGCATTTGAGTGAGCGGTTTCCAGCCCCTTCAGAAGAATGGATGCAGTCCGGTGATTAAAGTGCATTGGTTCTGGTTTGCGAGATGATGGTTCCAGAATAAAGTTCTTCGGCTACATGTGAGTGACTGTCGTGGGCGGCATCCATGTTTCTTCAATGAAGGCGGAATTAAAAATACGTAAGCGGCGACGACTCCTTGTGCAAACGGGGTTAGGCCTGTTTTAAGTGCTTTCAAGAACTTCATTTACATTTTCAGGTGTTTTTCTTGACCATTGATTATGGACTTATTGAATGGGTAGCCAGTTTTATTTTTAGGCTGCATAGTCACTATTTAGGACATCTTCATTTTTTTTTGTTTTGTTTGTATAGAATGCCAGTGTTTTGGAGTACAGGTAAAAATATTTGATGAATGATGATTATGTTGTGTTTTTCCTAATACTCTAATATTGTTGACATTTATTTTTGTGTTTTTATTCTATATTATATTGTTAATAAATTGGTTAAGTTCAAAAATCTTTTATTGTCTTCAATGTCTGCACAACATAACTCAGGGAGCTTTCATTGCTACCACTGCTAAATGTTTAATTTCTTTAAACTTTAAACTTTGCTTTAGCATCATAGTCTGCAAAAAATAATATTCCGGATCCAATTCGAAGATTAAGGAACAACGCAATCATTAACATTAACTGAAAGAGATAATTAGATAATTTTAGCTTATACTGCCCATTATACATTAAACATGCACGCAAAAACATATTCTGCGCTTGCGCACATGCATGTGCGCAGTCGTAAAGGTCTTGCGCGCACGTGTAAACGCCTATGCGCATGCGTCAATGCGCCGCATGAGCAGAAAGATTTTAGCTTTGAGGTCCGGATTATAGGTGTCCGAATTAACGACTTTTGACTGTATTAAGTAAATTTTGAAATATTCAGAAACAACTATAATCAGGTTTTTATATAAAGCATATATCTGGTTTGCAAAATGAAGTTAAGAGCTGTCACCAATATATAATGATTAATAAACAAACAAATTATTAGTTTACACATAAGAAAATTTAATCAAATACTAAAACCATTTATTCAAAAATACTTCTTTTCAGTTTGTGATAAATTATTTTAAAAAAATCCCCCTTAAATTTAAGGTTTCATTAATAATTAGTAGTAAACAATGGACACAAGAGAATTTGAAGGCAAAATTAAAAATTAAATTAATATATACAAAATTTCAATGAAAATTAAAACTATTTTAGCATTCAAAATTTTTCAAAAATCAAACCTTAGATCAATATCAGTTTTGCAGAAACATTCTATTCATTTAAGAAAGGGGGATAGAGAACTGCTCTTCTTCAAGGAATGAAAATAAAATGCCAGAATAATGTAAATACTGTTACGAATTTGGTATTTAAAAAGCTAATGTTAGTTCAATTATAAATTAAATGGTTTTATTTCTTGCGCAGTGCAGTGCATGACGAATATTAAAAGAAAGCTAAGCCGGAATATTGAAATACAAGAGCGCGTGCATTAAACACTTAATAAATACCTCTTTTTGATTTCAAGAAAGTACTAGAAAATTCTCGCGCGTGATTTTAAAATCTTATAAAAGGAGGAAAACCTCTCAGTTCAAAGTTGTTACTTAGTTTGTTGTTGTTTAGAAAACTGCTCTTGTTGATTGTAGCGAATTCGCGGATTAGCTTTCTTTAGCAGTTTTTAATTAAGTTCTTTTGAATGTTTGAGCAGTTAGAAGATAACTACTGTGAGATATTGTAAAACTGAAAGAATATCTGAGGGAATTTAAGCATTTTGTGATAATAATAAATTTTTTTGTTCATTTTTCATCGGATTTGTGCATTTATTTCGTAACGAACCCGTATGCACGCACGCAACAATTTTTGGTGTCAGAAGTGGGATTTGAATGACAATAACAAGAGCGATGGAAGAATAATTGAGGCAGCTCATCAGTGCTTTTGCTACATTCCAAGAAAAGATGGAAGCTGGCCAAACATCTTTTAAAGAAGAAATTAAAGAGAAAATGGATGCTGGTCAAAAATCCGTTAAGGAAGAAATTAAGGAGGGGCAGGATGCAATTAAAGTAGAAATGAAGACTGTTCAAGAAAAGATTGAAGCAGGTCAAGAGGAGATGAAAATAGAAATTACCAGCATAATAGAAAACAAATTTGAAATTATGGAAGGCAGCATTGACGCAGTTGAAAAAAGTTGGAAACATTGAAGAAAAAGTTTCTTCGGTAAAAGAAGAAATAGAAGAGAGAGCTTCTGCCATGGAACAACAAATTAATGATAGAGTTTCTGCTGTAGAACAACAAATTAATGATAGAGTTTCTGCGGTCACCAAAGAAGTTGATGATTTAAAGAAATTCGTAGCGACGGCAGGGAGCAATCCGGAAGGTTTTAAATTTCTACCCATGCCTGCTCGTCCCTCTCTGAAGCTATCGACATATGATGGGAAGACCTCCTGGCAGGTGTATAAGACATAATTTTCTATCGTGGCGGATGCGAATGGATGGGATTCCCAAAATAAAGCCTGGAATCTCGCCGCTTCTTTAAGAGCAGACGCAGCGGATATCCTGCATATGCTTACTGAAAATCAGAGACTAGATTTCGAAGCTCTGTCTGGCACGTTGGAGCTGCATTTTGGGGAAAAGTGTTTAAAAGACTGGAGTAGGCTTCAATTAAAATCCCGCCAACAGAAAACCACGGAAACACTTTAGGAGCTCAGGAGCTCGCCACAGATGTTGAAAGGCTGTCCCACCTCGCCTTTTCGGAGTACCCGACAGAAACAAAGGAAATCCTGTCCCTGCAATATTACATCGATGGCATCCGGGACCCTGAAATACAGAAAGCACTGCGAATGGCAGATGTAAAGGACATAAAAAGCACTCTGTTATACGCCATGAAGTTCGAGGCAACCCAGCAAGCAACTAGTAGAGATCGCTACCCAGTTAGAGCTGTGCTAGTTCGTAAGCCAGTGGATCAATTGATGGCTCGTTTAGATGATTTAGCCAGAGAAGTCAATGCCTTGATACGGAGTAGGAGTGAGAACAGAGTGGCTCTAAGGTGTTGGAAATGTGGTATTGAAGGACACATACGACGGCATTGCAGAACACCCCATGGTACGGATAATAAAGCGGATGATCTTATAAGACCAGTGAATGCCTTGAGACGGAATACTGGTGCGAAGAAACCAACCCTAAAGTGCCGGAACTGCGGTGTTGAAGGCCACATACGAAGGAACTGCAGAACATCCCAAAGCACAGAAAATAAGAAAGGCGGGTTAAACAGACAATTAAGTGTCATGGAACGGAAAAGGAGTGACAAGAAACCAAAGTGACTGTGGAGCTGAAGGCCACGTAGAAAGAATTGCAGAAAACCCCAGGGTACAGAAAATAAGATCATTTTCCAGCAACGAAGCAAGAAACAAATGAATGGTCATATCGAGGAACGGAGGTTGCCAGATAATGGAAAACCTTGTTTTAAAGCACTTAAAATTTATACAGTGAGTGTCAACAGTAACGGACTGTCCATTAATGGGAATATCGATGGAATTCCTTGCGATATGATCATTGACACAGGAGCTAATGTTACCATCATTAGGAAAGGTTTAGCTGAACAGTTTAAAGATAAACTTATTTGGATGCCATCCTGTGTTACCCTTCAGACTGCGTCTGGTGATAAGATCGACATAACTGGGAAGTTAAACGTAAGCATCACGTTTGGAAGCGCCGCCTACCATCACACGGTTTATGTGGCGGATGTTACAGATCCCTGCATACTCGGATTGGACTTTTTAAGGAAATTCAAATTTCCTTAGACTTCAAAAACAACAAACTGCTTTCAGCATATGATGACATGACTATCCATCCTCAGAAGGGATCCTCACCTGTAAATGCCGACATTTTGTCCAAAAGACCCAGCTCAAAAAGCTGCCGAAATCATACTAGGGTCGAAGAGAAACGCAAGACTACCAGCTTATCTCCATCCCAGATGCTCTTCGGTCGAGACGTTCGTCTGCCTTGTGATCGCCTGTTTGGTCACCCTACAGATGCGCCTTCATCGCCTGAGGAACACATCCAGGATGTCCAGGCCCGGTTTGAGGGGTTTCACCATTCTGCACGAAAGCGAGTCAACTTGGTGATGAGAAAGTGAAGACCAGTTACGACAGAAGAGCTACTAAACATCAGTTCCACGAAGGAGACTAGGTGTGGTTGTGAAACCCGATTCGACGAAAAAGAGTCAGGCCTAAATTACAATCACCTTGGGATGGTCCTCACACACTCCTAAACAGGCTGAATGGCGTCGTGGTTCAAGATTCGTAGGTATTCGAACTCTAAACCTAAAGTCGTTCATTACGACAGGTTACCTCATTACTATGGCCATAGTACGTAATGTAAATAATTGTAAATAGTATAAAGCCATGGTCCTTTTTGTTTTTAAATGTGTATTTGATTTGATTTGTATTTAGTATTTGATATGCATTTAGTATTTGATTTGTATTTAGTATTTGTTTTGTATTTAGTATTTGATAGCATTTGATTTGTTTAAGTTAGTTATTGTATTTATTGTTCATGTTTATTATTGTAATGTAATGCTCATTAATGCATTTATGCCACAGTTGTAAGTTTAGCTTCCTGTCCAGGGATTGTACTGCCCGGGACGTGCAGTCATTTGGAAGGGGGCAGTGTTACAAATTTGGTATTTAAAAAGCTAATGTTAGTTCAATTATAAATTAAATGGTTTTATTTCCCGCGAAGTGCAGCGCGTGACGAATATTAAAAGAAAGCTAAGCCGGAAAATTGAAAATACAAGAGCACGTGCATTTAACATTTAATAAATATCTCTTTTTGATTTCGAGAAAGTACTAGAAAATTCTCGTGTTAAAAGATAGTAGCTAAAAGATAACTACTGTGAGATATTGTAATTCTGCACAATAATTTGAGAAAATTTAAGCATATTTGTTGTGATAATAATAAATTTTTTCATTTTTTTTAATAAATTTTGTTCATTACTATGGCCATAGTACGTAATGTAAATAATTGTACATAGTGTAAGACCATGGTTCTTTTTGTTTCTAAATGTGTATTTAATATTTGATTTGTATTTGATAGCATTTGATTTGTTTTATTTATTGCATTTAATATTCATGTTGTTTATTATTGCAATGTAATGCTTATTATTGTATTCATGCCTTAGTTGTAAGTTTGGCTTTCTGTCCAGGGATTGTACTGCCTGGGACGTGCAGTCCTTGGGAAGTAGGCCGTGTTACGAATTTGGTATTTAAAAAGCTAATGTTAGTTCAATTATAAATTAAATGGTTTTATTTCTCGCGCAGTGCAGCGCGTCATGAATATTAAAAGAAAGCTAAGCCAGAAAATTGAAAATACAAGAGCGCGTGCATTAAACATTTAATAAATATCTATTTTTGATTTCGAGAAAGTACTAGAAAATTCTTGCGCATGATTTTAAAATCTTATAAAAAGAGGAAAATCTCTCAGTTCGTGGTAGTTACTTAGTTTGTTGTTGTTTAGAAAACTGCTCTTGTTGATTGTAGCGAATTCATGGATTAGCTTTCTTTAGCTGTTTTGAATTAAGTTCTTTTGAACGTTTGAGTAGTTAGAAGATAACTACTGTGAGATATTGTAAAACTGAAAGAATATCTGAGGGAATTTAAGCATTTTGTGATAATAATAAATTTTTTTGTTCATTTTTCATCGGACTTGTGCATTCATTTCGTACGAACCCGTACGCACGCAACAATAAAAATACAGCCATGCTATTTGTAAATATTGCACCGGAAATGCAAAATTTCCAGCTCATGTGAAATAACATTACACAGAGCAGGGTGACTGCATTAAATATGGACAAATGCATAAATTTTGCAAAGAAGGGGATAAAATACTGGAAAAAAAAGAAGGTCACTATCTCATGAATGATAGCTTTCATACATTGAGAGATAAATCAGAGGATGATGCAAAGTAAACAAGGTATAAATGTACATGTGCAATAATGCTCTTGTCACTGTGGCACAGAGCAGAAATGCATCATTATCAAAATAAAATAAACAAATAATAGTAATGGATGCAGCAAATGTAGCATCATCTATTAAGTGATACAAGAATGAAATGAATAAAAAATTAAGAACTGAAACCTTTTTAAATATAATTGAACTAACTGGGATCAGGATTAAAATCAATAACTAAAGTTAATAAATTTGGGTGAATGTGAACATATTCAAAAAAATCTAATTCACTAGCTGAAAAAATCTTTTGGACAATTTTAGAAGAACTAAGAAAAAAGAATAATCAAGGAATCAACAATGATTTGTTAGAGCAGATTTATTATGTCTCCTTTTATGACATATGACAAAACAACAAAGATAATGCAATGTAAGCACAAAAAGACAAAAAAAAAAAAAAAAAAAAAAAAAAATGCGTGATGAAATATAATATTAAAACTGACAAACAAAAAAACATGTCTGCTGTTGTTAAGGTTTGAATTGCATTATCTTCTTTGCTCGGGAATACAATAATTTGTTGCTATTATTAGAGGCTTCACTCCTACTGTAATTAATAAAGCCTCCCACTCCCTCTATTATAAATAATCATTATACTGTCAATCTTTTTTTTTCCTCCGTTTCTATTTTTGAAGCTATATTCCTTTTTAACATTCTGCATTCCTTTGAACTGCAGAGTATTTTATGCTTGGAAAATACATATTGATTAAGACAGCATAATTTATTACTAAGAGAGATATCTAAATAAATAGGAAAAACCGTGTAAGTATTTATGTTTAAAGGAAATTTTGAAAAAGAATTTTCATCAAGAAGATGTTTCTCTCTTTCTTATAAAATGATAAAGAAATAAAAAAAAAAATTATGCTGAAATTCATATAACCATTATATTTAACATGAAATTATAAATAAGAGAAAAATTAAATAATTTTTCCTTAAATAACAAAATTTTAAATAATCTGTAAAAATATTACATAAATTTTTACATTATAATCTTTGTTACAGTGTTGTGTCTTCTTATCTGATTTCTATTACAACAAACACTAGTATTTTAAAATAGAATTACCTCAGCAGAGCTTTAGACAGCTTCAATATTTTACCTTTGGGAGCAGCGTTTTCTGCAAAACAAAATTTCCATTTTAATACATTCAGTGAAAACTTTTAATTATTCCAATACTTAAACAACACAATCAAGTATTATACATATCATACTATTATTAAAAGCCCTTACATTTCAAAATAAGAAAATGACACTAATATCTTCAGTTCACATCATATTGTATTTTTTTTTTTACATTAAGATGTGATATTGCTTTTAATAAAGTAGAAAATACAATCAAATCTTGTTTTAATAATTTGCACAAATTAATAGATTTTTTTCCCTATACCTCAAGCAGAAGCTAGGAAAATAAATTCTATTTAATGATTATTTTATTTTTAAACATTTTAAAGAATTATCCAGGAGTTTAAAAGTAGTTTAGAGGTAAGATAAATTTAATCCAGATTCGTAAAATGAAATGACATCAAATGCTGTTCAGAAATCACTTTAAAAAATATAACTTTTATAATAAGGTGCAACTCAATGTCTTCTTTCAACACCACAGACAGTGAGAAGAGAATACTATGATATAAAAGAATGAAATTTCATAAACTTACTGATTTTCAAATTCCATATCCATCAAAGCCAGATTTATCAATCTTTGGATTACAATATGGCCAATGCAGCTCAAAACTAAAGTGCCATTAAATTGGAACTCACTTCGTTCAGACATATAATCAAACAATTTATCTACTTATTCCAGAATCACACTCTAGTCAACCTTACTATTTCATTTTCAATTTTGTTACTGTTTTCTCATTCTTCTAGAATTCCTTAAGTCACTGCATCAAGAACATCTCTAATAAATGATTATAAGGGTTGCACAAATAAAAAGTGGACACGTGCGATAACGTCAGAATGAACGCATTGATAGCAGTGCCACTGCACAAGTATATAAAGAATGGTATGATGTATGCATCTCAGACGGCATTTAACCATGAAACCTGTTTGTAGGAGATTAAATTGTGCAAAAGGAAAGCCGTGCTATCCATGGATGCGTCCAAATCAGGACAATGTGCAATAGTACGGTTTCTGGTTGTGGAAGGTGAGCGTAATGCAGACATCTATCGAAGAATGGTGACAGTGTATGGCGACCACTGTTTAGGTCATACGGCTGTACACAAATGGTGTAAAAGTTTCTGTGAAGGGCGGCAAACAATATTGGATCTGCCAATACCGAGCCAAGCAAACAAAGTGATCACCAATGATTCCATTGCCTCTGTTAATGAAATTATCCAAGCTAATCAAAGGGTTACGACCTGTGAAATCAGTCACAAATTCAACCTGAGTAAAGGAATGGTTAACACCATTATTCATAAACATTTGGGGTACAGCAAAGTGTGTGCAGAATGGGTGCCAAAACACCTGAGCCTTGATCATCAGAAAAGACGAATGGGCTTCTGTCTCCAGCACTTGATCCATTATGAGGAGAAGTCTGCATTTCTGGATCGTATCGTTGCGAACGACGAGACCTGGTGCCACCACTACACACCCGAATCCAAGAAAATAAGTATGCAATGGAAACAGCTCATCTCCTCCACCACGGAAATCGAAAGCAACGATAACTGCATGGAAAGTGATGCTTTAATTTTTCTTCGATTGTCGTGGACCACTTTTAATAGAGTTCCTGCCCCAAGAAAGCACTATCAATTCCGCACAATATTGCAGTACTCTGACAAAACTGTGACAAGCAAAAAACACCAAACGGCCGGACCTTCTCACACAAGGAGTGATCCTTCTGCATGACAATGCCTGCCCGCCCACATGTCTCCCAGGAATCCCAGAGGACCTTAAACACATTCCGGTTGGAGGTTTTGGAGCACACCCCCCCCCGTACCGTTCGGACGTGTCACCCTGTGACTTTCACATCTTTCGGCCACTTAAAAGAGCCTTACAGGGAAAACGTTTCCATTTGGACGATGGAGTGAAGGAAGCCGTGCCGGACTTCCTCAGGAATCAGCCCCAATCTTTCTACAGCACGAGCTGCTGCCACAACACTGGGATATATGTTTCAATGCCCATGGTGATTTCTTTTGATTTACAATAAAGGTATTATTTTTCTTCAACTTGTCCACTTTTCATTTGGGCAAACCTTATACTTTTTGATCCACTGAATTTTTCAAATTTAAATTATCATGAACTTGTTTTTAAATTTAAATTATGAATATTAATTTATTTTAAGCATGATTTAGCATTAAAATTTATTCCATGCTTCTAAGGAAAAAGACTCAAGGCACCAAAACTAATTAAGTCACAAGTTTTTCATTTTTTCAAATACTTCTCTAAGAACTTTTAGCACTAAAGAGAAAGGGAGAGATGCATAGGTGATCCATACTTAAGTAATTAGGAAGTCAGTATACAGTGCTATAGTATTTCTCACATTCATGGTAAAATTATGACATAGTTTGAAATATACTATTATACAGAATTTAATTAAATTTCAATATAATATTGAATTTAAATGAATCTATGATCCATGGTGTGCTGTAGTTATGATTGCATAAATATTGGCAAAAAATAAATGTAAACCAAATAGTTATTAAGCTGTCATTTCAAACTTACTCTACTAAATTAAACAATTAGTTATAAACATTCCTACTAAATAATAGAAGCATTTCAATGTCAAAGACCTCAGTCACTAGAAGTACTAGCACACTGCGGGCCAGATCTCACAGAATCATCACAAATCTCACAGAATACCAACCATTCAGACTCTAATTTTTATGACTCTAATTAGTAGCTGAGTGTTTAAGATTGCTAAATACTGGTAGTTCCACCTGATTTCAAACCCAGGCAAACAGTTGATTGCATGATTGGTTTTTGTAGTTTACCCCATGTGTAATGTGAATATGAACCAGTTTCTCTTAGAAAATCCTCCATGAAGTCATTCCCTCGTTGAGGCAGATAGCCCTTGAGTGCTTTATTCAAATAATCTAGCCTACCCTCAATTTGATTAACTTTGTGTATTCTACAACTACATCTTACTTGAGATTCAGATCTGAGGCTACTGTAACAGTAAGCAACCACCACAAAAGCATTAGATTGCAAAAAGGCAGCATTTTTTAATGGCCCAGGGAATCTACAAAATATCTTTTGCCTATAATTCTACTTTTTATATTATTACCAAATAGAAATATATTAAAAAGTTTGGAACTGGTTTACCATCTTTCAAAACTAATTGTAAAATGGACTTCCAAGCAGAAATAAAAGTTTCAGAATGCCATAAATGCATTAGTTTGCCTTGTACTGATGGTAAGACAGCTTGAAGTGATTCTGTCTGAAACAATCAAAAGGTACAATTTGTAATAAAACAAATATTCATTGAAAAACAAACTATAGTTAGTGTTTTTAAAATTATTTAAATATCACCTACCACAGATTTTGCAGAAAAATATTTCAGAATGAGTTCCCATACAGAGTAATCCCAGATACCATATTCTAAGCATATCCTTATGCATAAAATAAGAGCCTTTAAATACGAAATAAAAATAATAGTAAGCCTTTAAATACAAAAGAAAATATAATAAAATTACTACTTTGTTTGATAAAAAAATATAAACACATATTATATTTACAGAATTATTTCTGAATGCAAAGTTATGTGTATGTATGTTAAAATAGCATCACATTAAAGAAACAATAGCATGCTTTTAGGAAATAAATATGATACAAAAGTTTGTCAAGTTTGCAATAATCTCCAAAAAATTGTAGACTACTAATTGCCCCCCCTCCCAAAAAAAAAGAGAGAGAAAGAAGGATATTATTAAATAAAATAATACAAAAAATTAGCTGGTAAAAGATTTTATGTACAAGGTGCTTTTACATATAGTTTAGATTTAAAAAGAAAAAATATTCCTGTTCTAAAATTAAATTGTGAGAAATTAGTACAGTGATTCATAATACTGCATAAAAATCAAGTGTTTCTAATAAATGGAATTATAATACACCATCTTGAAGACTATTGATTAGCATATATGTAAAATTATATATTAAAATTAAATTCACATGCATAATTCAATTAAATTCTTTATGGATTACCTGCCTATTTTGTCAACAGAAGCTTAAATAATATTCCTGTTTTATTGCCCTTCTTTTTATTTCTGATCTTCTTCCCAAGACTGCATCTGTGACTCAGAATTCATTGTGTAAAATTAACATCTAAATATATGGTACAGTGACTAGAAGTTTTCTATTGCAGTATGCCAATTTTTAGCATTTCTATACTTTTAAAATTATTTTTATTGGTGAGTTTGATGATGATTTTAACTTGTGTCAATCTATTTTTGAGAGAGAAGTATCTTCTAAACATTTAAATAAAAATATACTGATTTCCTTGGTGCTAGTATATCTTTCATTATATAAAAGTGCCCCTCTTCCCCTTCCATTAACTTTTCAAAGTAGTTTTGTATTGATGGATTTTAAGTATCCTTTTTCACAAAGTGCATGCTTTTTATCTTAAATTTTAACCTAAATTTACTGACTTTAAAAAAATCAACATTAATTGGGCTGGCTAATTTAGCAATCAATTTCATTGCTTTAAACACATACATGTTAGTAATTAAGAAATTTATCCCAAAATAAATGCATATGGAAATACCTTTCTCATGGCAACCAATTTGTTATGCACATCACACACACAGACATTTATATGTGGTTCCCATAAGTGTTTAAAAGAAAAGATGATAAATTTAAGTTTGTAAAGTATGGTTTCTAAAAAATAGTAATAATTAACTAAATATATATGTGAAAACATATATATTTAGTTAAAATGGAAAAACTAGGAGGCATCAAATGTATATTCATCAAGCTTTTGAACATGTTCACCACTTTAAGTTATCCTTATGTAGCATACACATTTGCAATTTGTCTGGACATTGATTTCACATATACACATAGCAATTTCTCCTTCAATGTTGCTCATGCTCCTTCAAAAAGAACCTTTAGATAATATTTTCATAATCCTTCATGATTTTAACTCCCTTTTCTAAAAGCTTGCTCTAGATCCTAGATGTAATTGAGAACACATAAATTTAGGACCCAGTATAGCTTGGATTTAGTTTTGGTAAAGCCAAGTAGCAGTGGAGTATACAGTATGTTGTTTGACCAAACATGGCAGAAGAAAAAATCTCAGTATGAACAAAGTCAACCCAAATGAAGGAAGCAAACATTGCAGTAAAATTACTGTGATTCATCAGGCACATATAAATCCGCCAAATAAAAACAAATTGGTAACATAGAAATACTTTAAAAAAATATAAATAAATAAATAAATAAAAATTGCACTCATGCAGTATCTGAAAATACGATAGGAAATTTTCAAAATCAATAGGAAATTTTGTAAATACTTTTTGCTTCCTACAATTTTAAGCAGATCCTTCATTCAGTCAGAAGATGATATCCAGTATTTTCATACAAGACAGAAAGTCAATATAAAAACTGGGAAGGATGGCTCACTAAATCAAATCATCCTTTTCTATTTAGTTTTCACCCAGGACAAGTGAACTTTGATCTATGCAAAATGCTTCTTCTAATGAACTATAGGCAACATATACTTTTGCTTACAATTACTTGTTTATATTTCACAACAAGATGATGCAAACTGAGATATTCCATAGAGGTAGCCAGTAGCCTCTGTGGACCAGACACTGCTGCATCTAAGCACTAAGGAATTTTTTTTTTCTTAAAGCATTTGAAAAATGCTCTGATAGTAAAATCTTCAAAGCCAGTACCTAAACAGTCTATATCACCGGTTCTGAAACTGTGGTACATTACAACTGTGGCACAAATTTTACAGAAAAAAATTAAATGAATGTAAATTGTGCCCCTTTTAAGATTTTGTTTTAATCTTTATTATTCAGAACCACATATATTCTTTAAGTTTTTGACTTTTACGGCTTTAATTTTAATGTTGAAATGATGTCTTTTTCAAGAGCTTCAAACAATTTCCTGACGTTGCTATTTCCAAGAATCATTCCAGTTTGGTTTTCTCCCTTCATTTTGTGTTCGACATTTAGTTATATAATTAAATAATATAAATTTAAAGCAGTGTCCTCCAACCTTTTTTGTGCTATGCTACACCTAATCCTCTTTAAAATTCTTATGCTCCCCCTAGGATATATAAATAATTTTTAATATTTAAATATTCCCAAAAGAAAATTGAACGATAGGTTTTTAGAAAGAAATCAATATGAAATTTTGTGAGCAAACACAGTAAGTAAACTTTAAAAACATATAATGGAGAACTGAAATCCAAGTACAAAAACATTTTAATGATGGTTTTTTCTACATAAGTATTAGTAATTATTCATTATTTAAATTTAGTGAGATGCTTGCGCTTTATGCTTGTTGGAAAGAGATTTTATGTCAGATTCCAATTTAGTTAACTTCAGTCACCAGCCAATATTTTTTTTTTTAAACACAGCAACAAATTATTTATGGCTCTAAATTCCCATTCATCTAAATATGAATATGGAAACAGTAATAATAGGTTTGTTGCATTTGGATATTTGATTTCAGTTTTCTCACAAAGCCATGATATCGTTCCTTTTATATTAAACAAAGTTTTAATTGATTCATCATTTCTGCGAGCTCTTCTTGATACTGCATATTTGAAATATCAGTCAAATCCACTAACAATGACTGCATCACCCAAGTTGGGAAATCAATTTGTTTCAAATAATAAATCTTTCTTTTACATCAGCTTTCAGATGATCAACAATAAGATATATAGCGATAACAGTCACTTCATACTTTTCGATTCAATGAAACTTTTAAAAATTTATATTGTAAATTATGACATATTAATTCAATAAAGGTAATGAAATTAAATATCTTCACTTTTTCACCAACAAGAATTTTTACTTGCTCCTTGAAGTTGTTTATTTAATATATTTAGTTTTTCAAAGATATCGGCTAAATAACTCACAAATGCATTACCATCAACCATTAGCAGATTTTTCATTTCAGGTTTGTCACTTACAAATTAACTGAGAGTATCAAACAGTTCCATAAATATTTTCAAGCAGTTTTCCTTTGACATCTTACTTCAATGTGAAGTATAAGTCTCATATAGTCTTCATTTTGTTCTTCACAAAATAACTTGAAGGGACGTTCACATTTGGTACTAGCTTTAACAGCATTGATACACTTTAACTGAATTTAGTACTTCATTTAGAACAGGTGAAATGTTTTTAGCTACCAGGTTTTCAATATGAATAACACAATGCACAAGAAGCATTTCTGGACTCTCATCTTTCATTAATTTTAAGAACCTTTTTACTTCCCCATCACATTAGGAGCACCATCTGCAACACAAGATGTTGTATTTTTCATAAGCACATTTTTGACATCTAAGTAATTTTTTAGCTTACTATAAATATCTTTGGATGCAATGATGCTTTCTAATGATTTACAGAACAACATTTCTTCAGGAAAATCACATTTATCAATATACCTTATGTAAGTTTTAAGTATGGCCTCACTGTCTCTCAAGGTGATTCATCCATTTGTACCGAAAATTTTCTTGTTTTCAGCTTTTCAACAAGTTGTATTTCTGTATCTTTACTCATATTATCTATTCTTCTGCTAACAGTATTGTTACTTAGTCACATAGCTTTAATATCTTTGTTATCTTTTCTAGAACCATTTTGAGAAATGCTGATATGTTTGATTAAATTCTCCCCTATAGTATGACTTTCTCCAGATTTAGCAATGAGTAATGAAATTTGATAACTAGCCTAAAGAGTACAATTAACAAGTGCAGTATGAGCAGTAAATAGAGACTTTAATGTTACTCTTTTTTAAAATTTTTCCTTTAAAGTTTTCAATAATTCAAATTTGAATTAATATGAGCATTATGTTTCACCTTCAAATGTGTCTCAAGATGACCTCGTTTCATTGATTCATTGGTCATAAAAGACATTTGTTGGCATAAAAGACAACTTCTTTACATATACATCACTTACATTATTCTTTATTTTTGGGAATAAAAAATGAAATTTCGAAACATTTTGTCTTCAAGAAGAGAATTTGGAAATTTGAATGTCCCTTTAAACTCTGGACAAGTATATTTTCAAATTGGCCCCCCTGTGGGGCAATTTGAAAAGTCCCCTGTTGGGAAACACTGATTTAAAGGGTTTTATTTTTTGATTATATACGCTCCATTTAGGATGCGTTGATTTTTAATAGCAAAATGCTTTTATGGTGGAACATATATTTTTGTTTCATATTTATGTGGTACAAAATTTGAAAAGTTTGAGAACCCCTGGGCGATATCATAGCTACTCCATGTTGACAATTCTGGAGTACCTTCTTATATATCTGAAGCTCTAACTGCAGTATTCCTATTTTTGAGTTATTAAAAGTACAAATAAGGCATTAATTTTATTTCACTCTTTGTTCACATTTTCACATCATATAAAATATAAAATAGTAATAAATGTGTATATATAGAAGAAGAAAAATTATAGAATGCTGGATGTGTATATATTTATTAGTTGCAATTTTTAGGAGGTCATTACTTCCAGGTGTATGGTTAAAAATTCCGTAATAAGATCCAAATCTTTTTTTGTTGTAGATCAGTGTTCAAGAAAAATAGTTTAATTCTTTTATTTACTTTTTAACAAATGGTAACAAATATGCAATTTCTTAGCATTTGTAACAATCCTCTATGGGATGTTTGTAAATTTATTGCTAAGACATATAATATTAAGAGATAGATGTTTAAGATTTTCTAAGAGTCTTTCCTTTGTAGACCATTGATAACATGATAAGAATTTTCTGCTGAATCTGACTAATGCAAACTTTATTGCAAAATACTTTTATCCCATGCTAAGCAGAATTTTGCAGCAAATGTATTCTAACTAGTTAAGTTAATACTTACTTTGAGATTGCTAAAATGTCTTGACAAAATAGTGTGGATTAATTCCAATTTACTGTTGTTAGCAAGCATTTTGACAGTAAAAGGAAGTCCCAGACTTTCTAATTCAGCAATACACATAAAAGAAACTAATGTTTTCTCAGCTTCAGAATTTTCTCCACCAATTATTTCAGCAACAGCAGTAAAACCCAGAACAGGGATCAAGCAAAACAGACATCTGCACTGTTGAACTAGATCCATTTCATGCAGATTCTACAAATAATAATGTGTGTTACTTGAAACATGACATACAAACTATAATAAAATACTTTTAAAGTTTATATCATTCAACTAGATCTATTTTACATAAATTATACAAAAGAAAATACATGTTATTCAAAACAAGACTTGCAAACTTTTTTTAAAAGAATAATTTTTTGCTTGATTCTTTTAATTTTCATAATGTTTTAAAATTGATTATAATTTACATTTAATTAGTTAAACAGAGAAAGAAACCCACAGGATATTACCATTTTTAAGAGCTCAAACACATCCCATGATTCAATTTCACGAAGACCTAAAAACAAATGGATTGTCCTGTGAAAAAAAAAGAGAGAATAAATTTTAATTGTTACTGAAAAATATTCTTTATATATACATATATATATATTTTTAAGGCATTATTCAGTTTACAGAAAGTGCATACCTTAAGATATTTTCATCACAAATACTTTCCTCCAGATCTTTTTTTTCAGGGCAACCATTCAACATTAGTGACTTAAAATAAATAAACAACAGATTACCAAAAATATAACTGAAAACTTTATTAAAAGCATTTAAGTTTTAAAGTGAACATAATGCTCAAAATTTTAACTTGAAATACCATTAGACAAAATATACACTGTAAGAAAATCTTTCTAATTAACTCTTTATTCAGAATTTTTTTAGTAACTAAAATCATTTTATCGCTATAGAGAGTTTTATTCCTTAGTAGTTCAAGATACAAATTAAACTGTGTCCAAATATTGAATTCTTTTTTTTGTAATATAAAAGTCATCTACAGATTTGCACGCTCTTCACAAAGATAAATTCAAATATTTTTCCACAAGATCATAAGAATAGTCTACTGGATTACTTTTACTGACTTTTATATATTTATATTTTTTACTGATTGTAAAATAATATAAAAATATATTTAGTGCAAAACATTTAACTAATATCCAATTTTTAAATATATAAGATAAAATTCTAATTTTAATTTGCAAAACCCTTAATGTTTTCTTTTTAATTTGATTATTTTTCTTTCCATCCTAAAAATTGTAACATATTTATCATAAATCGTACTAAATAATTTTGAAATGACCCAGTTCAGAGAGATTCATTATAAGCATATTACTATTTTTAAGCTAGAAAGTGAAAATAACCAAATTCAAAAGGGACCTTAGAGGCTATTATAAATTAAAGTTATAAATTTGAGTTACACTTTTTTTTTATCTTAAGTAAAGATGCAGGATGGAAAGAAAATTCCATTTGTCTCTAAAACAACTAGTGAACACAAATCAGTTACAGTTATGAACGCAATGAGTAACTATGTTAATAGGATCATGCCTAACAATAGGAGACCAGTCACAACTCTACCTGTTGGTGAAATTCAGAACTTAAAAACGCTATTTAAAAAATTATTAGAGATATGCGAAAAAAATCATAAATGAAAACTGCGTGGAAAAGATCTGATCACATTGAGTCACATCGAATCCTCTTTACCAGACAACCATACCTTAACAAAAAACATAAAGTGTTCAAAAACACACAGATTTAAAAGTAATTTTAAATAAACTGAGATAAAAAAATGCATATTTTACTTATCTTCAGTGGAAAAAGTCATTGGCTAATTAAAAGCAATTCTTTTTTCGAACAAAATGAAAGTAAGTTTTTTCACATAATTTTACAAAAAATTACAGACAAAAGTATAATGAAAAAATTTTAATTAATTAAAAGCTAAAAGCATTATGGAAAATTTGTATATATTAAAAGCATGTCAAATCACTCTTTAATTCTTTCATCGGTAGAATGAATCAGCTTTTTGCATAAATAAGCATTCATATCATGTTGCAACACACTGCAATTACCATGTCTTTCAGTTCCAGTTCCAGAATAGCATTAGAATAATATTTATAATTCACTTATGAATGAATAACATTTCAGATATTCATTTAGAAGTCAAACAACATAAATCAGCATTATATTTACAAATTTTCACAGGACTAGTTTCGATGGTTTTATTGAACCATTGTCCTCAGCTGCCAGAGTGCAGATGAATGTTCAGCTGGACTTTGACAGATGTGTGGCAGAGAAAACAATTAAAGAATTTGAAGATCTATTTCCTAGAACATCCAGAGACCATCCATGTTGACTGCACAAAACTGATGCAAAATAAAATTGATACTCCGATCAAGCAACATCCCAGAGGTCTGTCATTCGTAAAACAGGAGAAGACTGGAAATCTTCTGAAGAATATGCAAGAAAATGACATCAACGAACTATCCACAAGTCCATAGGCATGCCTATAGTTCTTGTCCTGAAAAAAGTTGTCTCGACAAAATTTTGTGTCTGCTACCAAAGACTAAATAATGTCACTACGAAAGACAGTTACCCTCTTCCTAGGATTGCCGATACTCTAGACACATTATCAGGACACAAGTGGTTTTCTAGTCTTGACCTCAAGAGCTACTAGCAAGTGAAAATTTACTCTGACGATAGGGAGAAAACTGCGTTCACTATCAGCCAAGGATTCTAGTTATGCCATTTGGACTCTGTAATGTCCCTGCAACATTTGAATGTCTGACGGAGACAGTGCTTCTTGGCCTGTTATATGAATCCTGTCTGGTCTACCTATTTAGATTGTACAGAAATTAATGACACAAATGCTGCTACAGAGCAGAATACAATTTATTAACAAAAAACTGATAATACAGTCAGAATTAATCCCCTTCCATATTAATACACTTCTGCCTTTTGGCTGGGAGGTCCCAAAGAGCTTTGGCAAACCAGCCTGTGGGGGTGTTGGTTTTCCAACTATGGACAATTGCATGCAATTCGGCAGAAGACAGAAGATTCATTCAACATGTTGGCCCCTGACTGTGTCCTTCATCTTGTCAAGCAAAGCATAGTCCAAGGTCTACCTACTTTGTACACACATTTGTCATCTCCAAATCACCATGCACAAACGCCTGCAATGTTCCTTGCACAAGCCCTGTCTCTTCCTGCGTCTTGTTGAAAGTGCGGCTGTTTGCCATGATCAAATCTGATATGGCTCTTACAGACACAATGTAAAAGCCACTGAACATCAGTTCCAGGAAAACAAGGTGTGGCTGTGAAATCCAAGTTGTTGTAAGGGTATTTCTCCCAAATTGCAGTCGCATTATGAGAGTCCATATAGAGTCCTCAACAGACTGAATGACATCATGGTTCGGATCCGTAAGTCCCCCATTTTCGAACCTATGGTCATCCATTATGACAGATTAGCCCCATACTATGGCCATAGTACACAGCAGTTCTCATTCTTAGGAGTACCTAAGATTCTCATAGACTAATTTTCCTATATAATTTGTGCATATGACTTGTATGTAGTTACTTGTAAATACTGTAAATATTTGTTTCTTTATCTTTGTTTGTTTTACTACTTTTTTATTTTTTTGTCTGTTTGTATTGAATTTGGCTCCTCTATTTTGTCTATTTGTACTGCCCAGGGCAATCAGTGCTTGGGAGTGGGCAGTGTTGCGAAATGGCCAGTGACTGCACAGTAAGATAACTTCCCCGCAAAGCAGGTAGAAAATGAAGCTTCTCTGGCGGAGTGGAGAAAGTAGTCCGCTGGATAATGCAGCATGAGTCAATGGTGGGCTTAGGGTTTCCAAAACATAACAGGGAAATGCAGAGTTCCACATTTGGTAGGAAATCACCCATTCAGCGATATTTAGTGACAATGTCACCAAATAGTTGAACCACCGAGAACATTCTAGTAGGTTGGTTAAAGCTATACATACCCTGCCTTATGGGGGAGAAAGTAGTACCTTGAGTTAAGAGATTAGCCTTGAGAGCGATTGACTGAGTTGGGAGCTGTACTTTAATGCTCTGCTGTGAAGCTGTCTTCTCCATTATAGCCTGAAGGTTGTGCTGCTGATTGTTTTAGCGTGTTTGTCATAGGTTTTTTGCTAAATGTAAACATGTCTTTGGAACTGTACTGTGTAATAGTGCTTGCTGACAAATATGCTGGCAATATATTGTGTTTTCATTCTTCATCAAGTGTTATCAGCAATTACTCCAATTTGATGAACCTATGCAATGCAATAATATCTTTTAGACTTAAAAATATGGCCAAGGTAGATTTGAGGACATCACCAATATGTGTTTCTTTAATTATTTTATGATTATAATGCACCTTTCATAAAATTATAGAAATGACTCACTCAGCAAATTCTTCTTAGGCTGCTATCACACAGTGGTTTGTTTTGGAAGAACAACTGTTTGGAACGATTTTTCTGCTTTGTCACAACAGCCAATCACCATATACTGCTTTGGGGTTAACACAGGGGAAACTGGTTCCCCATTACAAACAAGCTGATAGCATTCGAAGCTGATAGCTGATTGGTTGAAAACGAACAACTTGCAATTTTTTTGGAAAGGAATGAAAAAGTCGCACGTCTTTTTCATTCAATAGTAAACTAGTGAAAGAAATTGTCTGAAACAGTTGTTCGAGGAAACAAACGTCGTGTGATATGGGCCTTAGTATCATTTTTAAAAGCTTAACAATTCATTTTCTTCAGATTGACTGAATGGGGCTTTAAACTCAAGGAAACCATAAAGCAGCTTTCTGTGCATAATTTTACTGGTTGCTTGTACTAAATGGAGACCTTCGGAATGTGAATATGTACTTAAAAATTATTAAATTATTAACTGGGCACAAAACTTTGCTCACAAAATTCAAAAACTTCAATCACAAGGAGGCTATTGTGGATATTATGATATATAATACATAAATTTCCAACTTATACCATTTAAAATGTGCAATAAAATACATTATATATTGTACGTTAATTTAAAAATGCACATACAAAAATTATTTCTATTAATTATACTAAAAATAATAATACATACTTCATTGAGATTAACCAAACTGCTGCCAGAAACATTTAACCACTTGTTGATAAATTTGAGAAAGATGTCTTTCAGGTTAATGTCAACAATACTAGATATGTTTACAGATGCTCTGCAAACTAAAACATAAGAAATAATATTTTAAAAAATAGATAGGAAAAATATTAGATGACTTTTTAAAAAAATAAAATATTAGGGAAAACATATTTCTAACAAATACTTTTTTTTTTTAGATTTAAACTGATTTACATAAAAAGCAACATTTGAATAAATGTTGATAATATTTGTCTATTGGTAAAGAGAAATTACAGAAACAATTATTCAAAAAATATGTAACTGCATTCCTTGATGTAGAATTTAACACTCATTGATACAGAATTTGCAGCACTATTTATAATTTTTAATAACAAATTAAGCTGAAAAGCATAATATATCACAGACTTCTCATTACTAATTCCACTTCAGAAGTGCCAAGCATCTCCAAATTAGTACAGAAAATAGAAATATTAAACTAAAAAAGTCATTAAAAACTCTACAAACTTACAAAAAAAAACTCATATTTCACACATTTCTATCTTAAAAATTCTGCATAGATATTTATTTACCCATGAAACAGCAGTGGAAATGAAATAAATGATACTAAAAAATCATGTACATTTTCTCTTTCACAGAATGTACTACACTGCAAAATACATTTCCAGAATATTTGCAGATATAAAATAAAATATTTGTTAAATAATATTTTTTCCACTAACACACACACACACACACACACACACACACACACACACAAAAAAAAAAAAAAAAAAAAAAAAAAAAAAAAAAAAAAAGAATATTTAAAAAAAATCTGTGAGGTTTACCATTGTGTATTTGCAGTCAAAAGTGAGTAATCTTAAGAACTAGTTAGCGAATAATCACTTAAGTTCGTGTGACAAGAAAAAACAAGACGGAAGGGTAACTAACCCTTTATTATTCCAATAAGATTTAACAGAACTCCATTTTGGAGTGTACAATAAAAGCCGACACTTGAGCTTGAACTTAAGAGACTAAGAAATAAACTAAAACTACGATTAACTAAAGAGATATAGCCGAAGCTATCAAGATTTTAATCGAGTTGGCCCCTTAACTCTATTTGACTACGAAGCTTATCAAGGGCCTGAGTACGGCCGAGCGTAATAACAGCTTTGAGGGAGAGTAGCCAAAAAGGCAGACACATGCAAATCAGAAACTCTGATTTTTTCTAACTTAGCAAGTAGAACTTCACGGTTAAATACCGCTCTTCTTCATTAAGCATTCAGACGTGATTCTAAAACTTCGTTCTGGCCAGAAGTCGTAAGTTGAAGTTAAAGATTTGATAGGAAAGAAGTTTAACTCAAAATTAAAACTGTTAATAAAATTAAAATAACCTTACAAATCAAAGCATTAAACATTCTTTGTATTCACTTAACTGATTACATGTGATTTGAGATTAATTTGTATTACAAACACACACCCACTGAAAGCGGGGAAAAAAGTAAATGGAATTTTTCACATCATTATTACAAAATAATGGCATATATATATGTAAGATAAAAAATATCTAAATCAAAATTATAATTTAAACTAACGGTAAATCTTTTAATTCTCCCTCTCTGTTCTAAAATTCGTAATAACCTCTCTCGATTGCATCATTTCTAGATAATTCAATTTTTGTGGTCTGTGCAATGCACGCTGATGACGTAATAATTGTAAACTGAAACTTTTTTACTCAAACCAAAACTTTTCTCTTCGTGTGCTTCCGTCTTACATAACTACGCACTTCAGCTTCTGTCTCTGCTCTGCTTGGAAGTAATTCCGTTATGCTGCTTCCTATTCAATAATATCAAAAATGTAAATGTTCTTGAACAGGCACAACTTGAGTGCCAAGTGAATTGTGGCCACAAATATCAGTTGCAAATAAAAATGAAATTAAAACTGCCTCGACCGCCAAGTGTTTTAGATATTACCAAGTCAACATATTAGCATACTATGCAATCAAAATTCTGCCTCTTCAATATGGATCAAAGTAATGCATTACCAGTGTTCCATCTTTTCTTTGCTTTTATTATCACATACATTTTACGATTGGTGATGCAAAACAGAACATCAAAGTTAATGTACTATCAAGGAACTGAAGCAGATCTTTGTAACTCAACTTCTTTCAAGTTAAGTGCAAGAGCATATTTTGCAGAATAATAATTATTTTAATAAATATGCCAAGTTTCATATTGCTTCTAAAAATAAATTCAATGAACACATTCTTGAAACTAAATTTTTCATTCATACTGAAATTGGTGCACATTCAGCACTAGACATATTAGGTAATATAAAGTTCTTTATTGTCTGCAGATGAATATAATAAACTATCTATAAAGAACTGCCACACAGTTTTAAATGCACTATAAAAATGCCTAAAGGGAACACCAAACATTAAATTTAAAACCTGCACAGAATTTTACTCTGCAGAATAACTTTATATATATAAGTATCACATATTAAAAAAATTACAATGAAATAAGCAATATCCCTGAATACAAATATTAATTATCCTAATAAACAAATTAACCAACTTTCCATTGCAAAATCTTAAGAATTCAAATGGTATAAAGGAAGTTAAGAACTTTGTTTCCTAAAAAAAACATGATAAACGTTTTACATAATTAAAATTATATATAATTAAAACAAAATATACAAAAATTACAATGAAATAAGTAATAAATCTCATATTTTCAAGAGAAAACAGTCAGCAGTCCAGTATCCAAAGCAATGAATGAAAAACTGTTGCCAAAATCACATTTCTAAAAGAATGAAACTATCATCAGAAAGCATTAACCAATCAAAATTGTGCTTTGTAGATGATATAATTCAAAACATACAAACCTCTTTGCCACTAGCTAATAAAGAGAGAGGGGGGGGAAAGGAACTTCTTTCTGTTGTGCCTCACGAGACACATGCGCGTCAGAATAAGAAGACTGCGATGTGCGTGTTGAGTGTCCAAAAATCAAAAGAAAATAAACAGCATGAAATAAGCAATATTTTATCTCATATTTTCGACAGTCAGCAGTCCAGTATACAAAGCATTGAATGAAAAACTGTTGCCAAAACCACATTTCTAAAAGAATGAAACTATTCAAAATGATGCAGTTTCATCAATAAAGATAAAATTTAAAAAAAATCTGATTCGAATTTTGAAAAAAATCACTTCGAGGTGCACTGACATTCAATTTAGCTGCATCTATGTACCAAAATTCTCAGTCCTGGGTCTATTAGCTTACACACAGCACGAGCGAAAGACACATACACAGAATCGGAATTTTTCTGATTGTTAATCATTGTAGATGAAACCTGAATTTTATCATTACAGCCTAGAAACAAAATCACAGTCAAAGCAGTAAACTGCAAAGGAAGAATTGGCTCCAAAAACGGCAAAAACTGTTCCTTCTGCTGGGAAAGTGATGGTAACAGTTTTCTGGGACAGCCATTATATTGTCCTACTAGATTACATTGAAAAATGCCTAAAAGGGTGACCAAACATACCTACTGGAGCATACTATGCAACATAACAAACTGAAGGCAGAAATTATGGAAAAATAGCCACATTTGCAAATGAAAAAATTTTTGTTTCACCAAGACAGTGCTCCATTTCACACCTCAGTGGTTGCAATAGCAAAAAACCAACGAGATAGTATACTGGTAGAGAGCGTATTGCAACCTTCAACCGGTTCCAACATTAGTGTCACATGACTGCTGCGCGAATTCCGAAAGTCCGGAAATACTTTACATTGCTTTCTATGGGACGAAAGACTGCTGCTCTGCTTGGTCACATAAAATTTAAGTAAAAATGGTTATTCGCTGCAGCGCCTACGGATGTAAAGAAAGTTTCGTGAAAGGAGGACTTGTAACCTTTCATAGGTAAGTTAACTGCATGATTTATTATTTTATTTTCAGTATTTTTGTCATTTTACTATCTCTGTTGAATTGGTTGGAAAGTTTCAGCCATATTGTATAAGAAAATTGCCGCCGTATATGACATTTTCAGCATGTATTATTAGCATCAAAATGTATTAAATACTGTGACACAATTTACTGGAATCACCCTTTACTAATAATTGAATTTTATATGTTTTTTCCGTGTATTCCGTTGAAATAGAATGCTGCGCCAATTGGCGTTAACTTTTTTTCGAAAGTCGTACGTGTTTTGATTTCATAAACAATTACTGCCTGCAATAAAAAAAGAAAAATGCTATTATTAGCATTAAATTATTGAGAAAAGATTGTGCGATATGTTTACTTTGTTAAAAAAAAAAAGCTGAAGATCTTGATTCATGCAACATTGAACATAAACAGTTAAACAGCATTATTTTAAAAATCAGATTACTTTTATAAAGCTCAATGCTTTATCATTATTTTCTATAAAATCAATTAAAATAATCTGGATTATAATTCTGTCCCATCTACAATGCTGTTAGAAATTTATTGTAATTGAAAAAATGTGATGTGAAAAACTTACCATATTTTAAATAGTATTTAAAAAAAAAAAAGAAAAGTGAGAGAATTTTTAACTGTAATATCGTTTTGATCCTAATAATAAATACTGAGTTGAGGTTTGTTACCGTTTGATACATATTCAATTTAAAATATTGTTTTATTTGTTATAGTTTAATAAATTTAAACAAATTTAAATTTAATTTTTAACAAATATGTATAAAAGTAAAAAAGCAAATTTAAATCCTAAAAAAAGCCAAATAGTTTTAAAAAAAATGTGCAAACATATAAAAGATTTAATACTGGAACTAATCTACAATATCATTTAAATTCAGAAGCATAATCAAGCAAATCAAGTGCAAAATAAATCCATTATTTGTTAAAAATTATCATTATTTGTTAAAAATTATTTGTTAAAAATTTATTAATTATTTGTTAAATTAATTATTTATTTGTTAAAAATTAAATTTAAATTTGTTTAAATTTAAATTTCATTCCTTGCAGCAATGGCGCAAAGAATATTTGTATTTAAATTTAATTTTTTTAATTAAATTCAATTTATTCTTATGAAACAATGTTATAGTTAATAAGATGTATTGATCCCCTCCATGACATACACATGAGTGTGGAAATCAGTAATTAAGATTGCATTATTTTGTCCCAGTAATATAATCTCAAGAAAAGAGAGCATTATTTGTTCCAGTAATATAATCTCAAGAAAAGAGAGGCAATCAATGGCATAAATACATATATAACAATGTGATTTTCTTTTTCTCTTTAGGATGCAATGCATTAAAATTAAACGAGATTTTTTTACCTTCTCAAATATTATAACAATAGTGCAATTAATTTTTTAACGTTATTCAAAATTAAAGTTTCCATCTCAATTTTTTATTATTTACTTTAGATTTTCTTCCTAAAATTATTTAACCTAAACATCTTAAACAATGGTGCAAATAATTTAAAGCGATTATTAAAAATATAGATAAAATATTCAGGAAAAAAGGGGTTAAGTTATATCTAAATATAATTGTAAAAAATCGAACAACCTAATTCGAGGCCGTTGTCTGCTGACTGCTAGCAGACGGAAATAAAAAGCACTACCTGCCACATCAAAAGCGGGCCAAACTGGCGATGAACAGCCTAAGCTATCACTCCCCAAGAGCGCCAAGAGCATTAGTCACGTGGTATATGTTGGAGACACCCTAGCAGACGAATTCTCTGTGGGTGAGCCGTCTACCTGTTATATGAAGTCGTTGCAAAAAACCATGAATTGCAATTTGAACTGCTTGCGAGACCTATTTGCCAAACCTGGCATCAAGAGATCTTTTTTGTTCATTAAGCTAAAGGAGCACTTGAAGGACAAAGATTTTCGTCAAATGAGGATGCATTATACAGAAAGATTCCACATATTATTTTGGCAGGTTAAAAGGATGGGAGCACTGCTGGAAGACATGTATAGACTTACAAGGTGACTATGCTGAAAAATAAAGGTAATTTTAGAGGAAAAATATCTTTTTTCTTTGTTAGGTTGGAAATTTTTCAGACAGCCTACATATATATGTGTGCACATGTGTATGTACATTTCAGGTTACTGATGTTTCCAAATATTCAAGGAGCATTTTGAAAACAATTTTTCAGTTTTCAAAACACATTGAAAAAATAATTCTTTTTTCAGAAACTTTTATGTTTGTTCAAAACGAGCCCAAGAGTATTCCATATATTAAGTTATGTTTCTGTAAAATAATATCCACACATATATTGCCTAAACTTAATTTTTATGGTGAAAACAGTATACTATTTTAAATATTCTGTTTATTAAAATAATATTGGAAAATAACACTAGTATTAAACAAAATGTTAATTATTACATCATCAAAACCTAAAAACCTAATTATGTTTTCATTAAATGAGAAAATAAATATTTCAAAAACTCATTAGGTGCATTTTGCATACCATGAAACTAACATAGAAGTTAAGCAATTACATACCTTTTATAGTTTGAAGAGCTATCGAGGAATAATTCTCAATTAAATGTTCTACAAGTTCATATGGAGAAGAAATTAGACATAAGGCTGCTTCTGTAGCTATATTATACTTGTACAGCTCTCTTTCAATAGCTAAATGTTGACGAAGTGCATCTAACTTTTTATGCACTTGTTTCACATTCTGTGAAGCAGGAGCTACCTCAGACCACTGAGCAGCAAAGTTTACAGTCATTGTAGCAAATAAAACTCTATTTCCACCTGGAAAATAAACTAAGTATCTTAAATAACAAACTAATTGAAAGCCAAATAAAATTCTCAAGAAAAAATACAAAGTTTTCTTAAATTTTCACACAAAATTACATTTTTTGTAAATAATATTTTGTAAGAAAACTATTTTATGAAGTCCATTTAGAGAACTATTAAGGCACTATGCATAATAAAAATTTATAAATGTCTTCTTTCTGGAAAAATGTAACTAAAAGTAGTACTGGAATGAAAAATGCATATGCTCAAATAGGTATGATATTCAAGAATTCATATAGCCTCTTTGAAAATTAATATTTTTAAGCTGAACTGTGATTGAAATGACATAAAACAGCTTATCAGTAAGACTTTTATTATATGGCACAAGTGCTTTAAAAAAAAAAAAAAATACTGAAAGGTTTCAGATTTTAAATTACGTCCAAAGGGTTGTTTTTTTTAACATTTTGCGTGTTACCTTTATTTATTAAATATCATGCTCTTTGCACTTAAACCATACAATTCAGTTCAACAGCAATGTTGCATAATAATTTTAAAATGAGTGAATCTTTAGAATTTCCAATACACAGTTCTGCGCGCTGTAGATAAAAAGGTCCCCCCTTCCCCGTAGAGTATTGCCACTGCTTGCTTTTAAATCGTTGAGTTTATTAACCAAATATTCGTTAAAGTTTTATAAAATATGACATTGATAATAAAACAAATTCCAAATTTGGGCTTTCAGATGCCCATATTCGTAGTAGGATTATGTCATTCAAAATTGGATGGCTCTAGGTACCACTGTTTTATCACAATGCGAGAAACAGACACACAATTATGCAGATTCTTCATTATTTAATTTCTTCAAATACAATACAGGGCGATGGTATTTGGTGGCAACGATTTGAAAAGTGATACAGCCCTTTTAAAGTTTTCAAAGCAAAACCGCAAAATGAAAACAATAGTCCTTCAGGGACAAAGCCCCTTTGGACTAAAAAACTGGCATCATAAAATGACCATCTTACTTACGAATTCACTTCTTAAACTGGAGTATTAAGCTTATGATCAAAGCTTTCAAGATTTATTTTATGGTTTATTTTGAAATACTTGGTTTTGAATACACAATATTAATTACAGACTTAACATAAACTACACAACTATAAATTTATATATTTCAAATATATATGTATTATGAACATAATGTAATATAATGAATATATATTTTAAATATAATGTAAATATATATATGTTTTGAAATAAAATTTTTATTTCCATGTAAATTTAAGGCAATGAAAATGCAGTTTATTTAAAAGTCAATGTTACATTATAATAAGTAGTATATTTGTTCAAGAAAATAAAGCTATGATTGAAACAGGACATTATTTCAGGCATGAATTTTAGGAAAAAGAACTTAATACATCAAATATTTTACCAGCAGGCATCCTATTAGTAACCCAACTTGCACATCCTACTGCCATCTCAGGTACACTAATTTTTACCAACATGTTATTTATAGAACTCACAAACTGTTTATCTGGGTTTAGAACAATATGATCACAAATTTTCTCAAGGTATTTATTCACTTCATTCTGCACAGCAACAATTATCAGTTGGTCTGAAGATATCTAGGAAATAAAAGAACACTTAGAAAATTAAATCCTGTACATGGTGATAAACTTGAAAAAAAAAAAAAAAATCACAAAAATGGTTTTACAGTAGACGTCACTTAATGTGATCGAGGTTAATGTTAGCATTTGGGTATCGTTATCCATTTGCCAAAGTATCGCCTGTTCATATACAAAAACATGGAAAATGCATCCCTTATTGCGATAAACACTTTGGTTAATATAATCAAACTATTATAAAACGAATTTTTTAGGCTTAAATCACCAAAAAAAAAAAAAAAAAAAAAAAAAAAAAAAAAACATGAATTTGCCAAACAGAGTATATATCCATATAAAATCATAATAAAAACTGGCAAATGACTGCCAAGCGAGGGGTTAAGTTGCCAAAAAGCTTGATTTAGGCAAAAACATAACCTTAGTTTGGTATAGATTTTCATCTTTTATCTTCCTCAGGAGGAGGGGGAACCTGCAGAATTTCCCCTTTTCCTTTGAAAAAAAAATTCCCTTGGAAACATCTACGACAAACTAAAGTTACTTTTTTGCTTCATTTAAAATTTTGCATTGATACGTTCTCTTCCAATAATGGATGCCTTCCAGATAGTAAGATTAGGATAGCATCTGTCAAATAATTTTTAGAAATGTTATGAACAGTCCATAAATTAATTTTTGCATTAAAGACATTATGCAAAAATTCATGAACAAACTTTTGCATTTTCCAAATTAAAATACTCTGAGATACCTATTTATATGTTTCTTGATGTTTTTATATTAAATTTGTTAAATTTCATTGCTATTTTGAAGAATATTTTTTCTCATTGTTTAATGCTATAATTCAGTTAATCATATCAAAATAGCTGTGGACAAACATGATCAAATAAGAGGCAGCAAGTGTATAATAAACTTACCTTCAATAAAGGAGCTATTTTAAGCCACACAGGCACAGTATTTGCATTCAGCTCTGGATCTTTGAGAAAAAAAATTAAATGCATAATTACAAAATTTAAATTTTTGAATTTTCCAAATCCATATAAAATCATCTATTTTAAATATTTAACGAAGCAATTAAATATTTTATATAACATACATATTTGATATCAATTTCAATCAAGTATTAAACATATGATATAACATATATAGTTAACCTTTGACGTGTGGTGGTCGTGCCCTGAAACCACCAATTTTCAATTTTTTTTCTCCTCTTCTTTCGAAAACTGAGTGAAAATCAATTGATTGCTGATCTTTAACTTCTAAATAACACAAAATGATTACAGAATCATACATGTTTTAGGTCTTAGTACTTCAAATCAGATGCCTTTTAAAATTAGTTTTCAATGAGACAAAATAGCTTCTTTTTATTAATATAAACAACTTTAAATTTCAAAAGTTATTCATCGCACATCATGATTTCTTTCATAAACAAAAACCCTCTATATGTATGGCATTTGCTTTGTGGTTTCAGGGTGCAACCACAGAGCCGCTAGAGCACTGTGTGACTATGCTCACAATCCTCTAGAAGCTCAGTGGCCGTGCCTTGAAACTACTGCTCTTCACAATGATGTTTGCTTGCTTTTCAAACAGAAATGTTTATTTTTACCTGGATATAGATAAGGAGCTTTGAAACCACAGAGTTATTTTATTACTAAACAATACATGCACATGCCCAGTAAAAAGGTCTTTCTCTTCTCTAGCCTCAACACACTTGCTCCCCAAGCTAGTATTGTAATTTTATAAATTATTTCGTGTGGTTTAAATTTAATGTAAAATATACTTTTCTATAATTAAAAGTAGAAATCAAATAAATTTTTATTTAAATTTAAAATATTTTCTTAAAATTTTGGGACGAAATACAAGTAAAATAAGTATGAATGGGAAACGAATGATCCGTACCAAAGCCAAATGACCAAGCTCCCCCCCCCCATTAACATAAAAAAAACCCACAAATTTTATGTGCCAGATGAAAAGAAACTAAATAACACTCGACATATACCAGTGAAATTTAGATCCAAGCAGTGTACATTTTGTAGCACAAGGAACAAACCTCGTAGAACAAGATACATGTGCGAAACGTGCAGTGTGGGTCTATGCACGTACCAAAAAGACAAAACATGCTTTGGACAAAAAAAAAAAAAAAAAAAAAAAAAAAAGTTTTTTTTATCCTTATTTTACTGAATTTTTTTAATTCGTTTATCCGAATGTCCTTATTATGTAGGTACTTACATTTTCACTGCTATAGAAAAATTACATAAAAGATTAGTTTTTAATTTTTTCTGATGATTTACTTTGTAAAATAATGAAAAAAAATTATATATAATGCAATTCTTACATACTTTTTTTTTTTTTTTAAATTCAAGAATTTCGTCATTTCTTGGAAACGTGCATGGAAAAGGTAAGTTTTTTGCCCTGCTACCCCAGTAAGTTCCAAAGTGATAGATGTGCAGTGATTTTTTCACAGTGTGACCACCACCCACAGAACAATGTGCAAGAGTAAGTTTTTTGAATTCATATATTATTTGTCTCTAGAATCATAATATTCAGTTTCTAGAGTTTTTAGTTAAAAAAAATTATAAAAATAGTATCGAACGCGTCAAAGGGTTAACATAGCACAGGAATGATGGTTTTTGTAAATGAAAAATTGAGCTTGGGGAGGGGGAGAAGTTAAAGATATTGAGAATAAAATATTCAAATTTTTGCAAATATTCAAATTTATCTGCATCATTTATGGGTTAGTAAATATTAACTTTTCACACTTTGTTTAACCCTCACCTGGTGGGCTGGCATATGGTACAATTTTAAAGGGGCGGCGTATGAAGTACGCCCGGTCGTTTTTTGAGCCTCTGCTTCGTGTTTGAAACTAATTTAATCTTATACATTCCATTAATAAGGTGATTCGCCATAGTAAAAATGATACAAGAAAAAGAATAACAGAAAAAAAAGCAGTAAAAGATAGAAATTACGAATTTTTAATTAATTCAAAAAATGGAGAGCACTGGAAATGTAATTTAAAGTTATATGGTATCTTGTAAAGATCATAAATCAAATTTACAAATTATAAATATTCCATAAAGAAAAGTTCGGTAAGCAATAAATTTCACAAATGAAAAAATTAAAAACCTTTTACTACTTTAATACTCTTCAGATTGTTCCTGTTCACTGCAGCAGGGTTTGCAAAGTTGTAGTGTCTTGCCCAGATGATTTTTGCAGGTAAACTTAGAATACTCAGAACATTTTATGGTAGTGTAATTATTTTTCATTCTACCACACTCAGCGCAGCGTCCTTTGATTTTTTTTTGCGGGTGGTTCCTCGTCATTTTTGGCCATCTTGTCCGTTTCTGTTGCTACCAGCCTCCTAATAATAGCTTTGAAATGCGACAGGAGAAACGGCATTTTCAGACGATTCTGAAGATGTGGTTTCATCAAAGATGTAGATAGATTTTTCAAAAAATATCTTCTAAATGTGATGGTTGCATCAGGTTTGGCGAAGTTCAAGAGCACTTGCGAATTTATGCCCGCAACGTTTAGCAGTGGAAAAAATATTGCCATTGTCCACCTCTTGGTTTTTCGAACGACAGTGAAATTACTACAAAGTTGGTTTATGGTGCCAACTCTGCCTTTACATTTGTTATAATCCAGGATTATACGAGGTTTATTTGTTTCCTGGTCAATTTTGTCATCATCGTGTAAAGTACTGAGCAGTGTTACACACTTATGTTGCATATGAAACAATTGCCATATCCTTCTGAAAACCAAACATTGAACTGCCGACTTCTCTTGTTTTTGATGGCTGGAATTCATTTGGAATTTCCTTTTTATTTTTTTTTTCAGCATGCCCACAAGTGTTTTATGTTTGGTAAGAAGATATTGAGCTAGCAGGTAGCTTGTATACCAATTATCGGTCATTAGGTTACGGATGGAACCTTCGTACGCACCAAATAGCCTTTTGACAATGTCAATACTTGAATTAGGAGCCTCGTAAGGTCCTGGTGGTTGATTGCCACAGTAAATTTTAAGCTTCAATGTATAAAACATTCGTGAGTCAACAACTGCAAAAATTTTAAGACCGTACTTTGTGGTCTTGTTGGGATAAATGGAATAAAAGAGCATCTCCCGCGAAAGGTTTCCAACTTCTCATCGATTGTGAGTTCCTCACCTGGTGTATAAAAGTTTTGACAGTTCTGATTGAAAGATTTAAAAAATTCTCTTAGTGCAGCAAGCTTATCAGTTTTTTTTTTTTTTTTTTTTTTTTTTCACATACCTTGTGCCTTTATCGTCGAATTTAATAGCAACACACAGGTATCTGAATCGCTTGAGACTCATTACCCCTTGCAAAATTACAATTCCATTACTGCCTTTTGCCCCTGCTTCCTCCAAATTGAGTTTGAAATTCTTTTGCAACCTAATAAGAATAAAATTCCTAAAAAGGCCAACGCTTCTGCTCTATTAGTATCATACATTCTTCTCTTCTAGATGTTTTGGAAGTCATCTGCAGTACTGTTACATTTGAGATAAATATTTGTATATTGTATGATAGCACCAATCATATTTGTATTTATGATTTTCTGGAAAGCAGGAAGCTTATCATTTATACCGTCACAAGTTTTGGCACTTGGGCATATTTTTTTCATCAAATTTTTTCGAGGCATTCTGCCGAATTTGCTCTTCAGGGAAACTTTATTCCACTTATAAGCTTCCTTTTCTTCTTTCAGAAACTTTCCTCCAACTTTCTTCTTTTTTTAAATTGTTTTTACAAAAAAGTCCTCATATTTTAAATCACTCATGTCATTTTCAACATCACTAAAATCATCATTTGTTGGGGAAACATCATTTGAGGAAGGAAAATGGAGGATGTTTAGAAACATTTCCCTCAATTTCTGAGTCACTTTCATGATCAGAATGTTCGATGACTTCCGATTCATCGACATCAGATGCATTATCCAAATTGTCGGAGTCTTCATCAACCAAAACCTCTTCTAAAACGTGCAAATAACCTTCAGGAGGTACAATATTCTTTCTGTACATACTTGGAGGAGCGGCGTACTGCGTTCGTCTATGCGACATGTTCACAATAACTGCTTTCGGAAGGAAGGCGAAAACTAGACTGACCACAAATACCAGATGCATTGCACTCATGAAATGTTTCTAGGAGGGTAGAGGAAGGGAGGAAGCTCAGGAAGGGGTTGTCTAAAAAATACAGCCCAAAAGATGGCATTGGCGTACTTTGTATGTCGGCTCCTCCATTGCAGAGTTAAATACGGGATTGGTCCTATGCAGCCTATGAGGTCTTTTCCATAATTCATAATAATAGTTATAATTTATTATTACTGATGCAATGCTCCTAATGAAACTATATTTTGACAATTTTTTCCCAGAATATTCAGTGACTTAGGGCCGCCTACAGCTAAAAACTGATTTTAGTGAACTTATTATTCCGCATAAATGCTCATGGTGTTTTCATTAACAAATATTATATTTTATGCTTTAAAATTTAAGCACTGTGATAACGTGTACACAATTAGAGAGTTTCTTTTTCTTGTGGGAGACACAACAACTCTTCTGGCTAGCCCTAGACTAAACCCAGTGAAGGGTTTTTCATTTTGCAACAGAGCAGAAAAGGGGCTTTTGTCTGAAAAATCCTACTGGAGCAGGACATACCTTGCATCTGTCTTTCCTTTCTGTAAAATTATGCAGTAATATTATTTATGTATACTAATGTAAGCCTTGATATAACTTACAATGCATTTGTTAGGTTTTAAAATGAATCTAAAAAGACAGCATGTCTTACATCCCAGAAATTTGGTGATGTTGCAGCACACAAATTTTACAAACAATTTTATAAAGATTAATAAAAGAATATTAAAAAAAACTTAAATTCTTTAAAAATATAATTTAATGAGGAAAATAATAAAATATTTCAAAAAACAAGGGTTATATACATATATATTAGAATCACCTTGTATATAAATACGTGCACTGTAAACACAGTTCTTAACTGTGCACACAGAATGACACAGCTGTGTAGACATGGAAGAAAAATTATATCTTAAAAAGTCTAATTTAAGTATGCAAAGGTTTCTAATATTTGCTACATATGCTATGTGATGGTAGGTGGCACTTCCAAATGTGATGTGTGTTTTAATTTTCCATCAATATCAATTTTATCATCTGGCACAGTCTGCAGAGTAACGCTAGACATTGTCTAGATGAGTTTATCTTCCAAATGTTGATTGAGCCAAAATTTTTCAGATGACACTAACATTGGCTCCTGTATTGATGGTCATATTGCAAAGAGCTCCATTTATATATCTCATGATGAAAAGTCCACTACTGCCTCCACTTACTGCAGAAATCTGAAGTATTTTAAAATGGGAGTCTACTGTGAGGTTTGCCCAATATTGCCATATTTGGAAAACTCCGCTCTGTGAGATGGCTACTAATTTGTTTCCAAGCTCCTTGCTGCAAAGCAGTCTTAACTTCTGAGCCTTGGAGTTTCTTGCAGTTCCTTCATTTGTGGTCTTCAGCACCATAGTTCCAGCACTTTAGGTTGGTGTCTTTTCACTCATATTTCCCCTCAAATCATTGACTTTCCTAGTTAAATCATCTAAACGAGGAGTCGGTTGATCACCTGGTCTTGAAGATTAGCAGCTCTGACTAGATAGCGATCTCTATGGGTTGCTTGCTGGGCTGCCTTGAGTTTCATGGCACACACTAAAACACTTTTTAAATCCTTGACATCTGCCATTTGCAGGGCTCTCTGTATCTCAAGATCCAGGATGCCATGGATGAAGTACTGCAGGGACCGGATTTCTCTTGTTCCTGGTAGGCAGTCTGAAAAAGTGAGATGAAACAGCCTTTCAATATTCATGGCAAGGTCCTGGAGTGTTTCGATGGGCTTCTGTAGGTGAGATTTTAACTGAAGCCTGCTATAGTCTTTTAAATACTTCTCACCAAAGCCCAGCTTCAATGTGCCATATAAAGCGTCTAGCCTCTGTTCTCTTTCTAAGGATAGCTTCTGGTATCTGCTACGTCTGCTCTCAGAGAAGCAGCATGATGTTTTAGAATTCCATCCATTCCCATGAGCCACTATAGAGAACTGAGTCTTATACACTTTCCAGATTGTCTTTCCATCTTATGTGGATAGCTTTAGAGATAAGTTGGACGGCATATGTACAAATTTAAAGATGTCAGAATTGTGACCAGCTGTCATTATGTATGTCTTCAGGCTGTCAACTTGCTTGGCAACAGCAGCAGAAACTCATTAATCAATTTGTTGTTTGATATCAGAAACTTTCTTCAATTTCTCCTACTTTATTATCAGCCATATGTCTGCCCTCCACAGCCTCGAATGTGTTTTCTGTTATGGCAGTAACTTCTCTTTTTATTTCCTCTAGGCCTGCTTTAATCTCTTCTTTAAATGCACCAAAAGCTGCACCAGCTATCTTAATTGCTCCTCCCTCACTCTTCTCACCAGCATTGAATCAAAATTCTAACACCAAAAATTGTTGCATGAGTACAGGTTAGTAATGGATTGAATGCACACAGAACCTACAATAGCTTGCTAAAATCCATTTTATCAAAAGAAACACTTCACAATTCTGGAACCCTTTACAAAAATAATCGTACAGCTCTTCTTCCAATCAGAAGTGATACTTCAAATTACTAAGAACATTAAACACAGCGCAATGCAAAGCATGCTTAAAAGTCGAAGCTCTGACAGAGATCTCTCAATGCTGAACTAAGCAACTCAAAACTGATGCTCTCTCTGATCTTGCATAGTTTTCTTTGGCTGCCAAGAAATCTATAGTCCCCACCATTCATTGAAATTACTTGAAGCCATATATAGTTAAAGTTACATATAAAGGTCGGATACAGTTACAGTTACATATAGCTATCAATTACAGTTATTCAATTATAGTACCAAATACAGTTATACTGGGACTGGACCTCAATGTTGCTGAATGGTGACCATTTGGTGATTTTTCGCCAATTTGGGGGGGGGAGGGGAATTAGTCGCCAAAACCATCATCAATTTGGCAACGTTTTGCCAATTTAGCGAGATAGGCATTTACCTCAATGTTAAACAGCCTTGCCCCTGTAATCTTATTTTTCTGGCAAAGCTTCAACCTCTTCAGACTTTTCATGTTACATCATTATACAAAAGATACTATAATTTCACTAAAATTATTTACATATATACAAAATTTGTAACATTGCCCCCTTAAAAAATTAAATATTAAATCAATCAAAAAAGGCATAAATTTACAAATTTATATAGGACCGTGGTCTTAGAACACTATTTACATTATATACACTATGGAGACTCCACACTTTGGCCATAGTAAAACGTCTAGCCTGTAATAATAAACGATTTCAGGCTTAGAATTTGATGACTGGATCCAAACTATGATGCTGTTCAGCCTATTTAAAACTATGTCAGGAACATCCCAGGATGACCGTAGTTCAGGAGAATGTCCTTTCCATCAAATCGAACTACATAACAATACCTTGTCACTTGTTGAGTCGAAGTGCTGTAGCTTTTGTGTCACAGTGAATCTTCATCTTCTCTGTCGTCAAACTGACTCGCGCTTGTACAAAACTCTGTATCCCTTCAAACAATGTTTGGAGATACTGAATGTTTTCCTCAAGTGATGAAGGCACATCCAGAGGGAGAGACCAAACAACATATCACATGGCAGATGAAGGTATTGGCTGATAGACAATTCAGTCTCGACCAAATGATCGTCAAATTTGGCAACAAAAATTAGTCAGCAAAACAATCGTCAGCATGGTGATATGTCACCAATTTACCAAGATAGCCATTTACCTCAATGTTAATTAAGTTTGCCCCTATAATCTTATTTTTCAGACAGAGCTTCGTCCTCTTCAGACTTTCCATGTTGCATTTACAAAAGATACTACAATTTCACTTATAATTTCACTAAAATTATTTCCACACGCATACACACACACACACATATATATATATGTGTGTGTGTGTGTTTGTGTATATATATATACGGACTTTGTGCTACATACATATATATATATATAATGTTGTATGATCTTAAAGTATGTATGGATCTTAAAGTTGTATGATCTATGGATTCACTCTTTTAAAATAATTCTACTTTAATTAAACTTAGGAGATAATATAATCAATTAACCAATATTGTTTAGGAAATAAATTATATACATATATATATACAGCACAAAGTCCGTAATCCAGACTCGTCGGGACTTCGGCGATTCCGGAAAAAAAAGAGCTTAATATATTTATTTGTTTACTTTATTAAACATTTCTTTTAACACACGCATGGGTAAAGCATACATTACGCATAGTTGAAATTAGAAAATTGCAACCAGAAAATTTATTGATGTGTATTCGTCATATTTATAATGACGAAATTGATTTAAATCATATCAAAGATGAAGTACATCGAGATGAAATACTACACTTAGTAAGGAATTATAAGCCGAATAAAATAAAAACATCTGCCCTGAAGATGAGGATAGTGCTGACAGATCAACTTCCAGTTCATTGCACGGCGCGACGCCCAACCCCCATGATTATTCATGCTAGCAGACCTTTCACTTACAGATCTTATTCCACATGTTCACATCATTTCGACCAATTCAATACACCATTTCTGCATAATCATTTTGTAAAAAATAATCTATTTATTTCAGTCTTGTTTTTCTGTTTCTACACTTCTACCATACTTTAAAATTACAATGTACATATAATTCAGTAAAAAAGAACACTTTTAAAAGCATTAAAATACTTACCAATAACATTATAAGGGCTTTTTTTGAAAAATGCATTAAATGGCAGGCGCTTGAAAGCTATGCTTGGTAATTTTGAATTCTAATGAGAAAGAAAATAAACTAAATTAATAAGGGAACTTTTTTAAAAAATGCAAATGGCTTTAATCAGTTTGAAGCAGTTAAACAATTGCAAACAATTAAAAACATTTTTGATAAAAAAAAACACTCTTACTGTTGGATGAAATGTACGCCAATAATTAAGCTCTTCTTCAAGTGGAACAGATATTCTTCGGTAAACTTTTAAAAATTTTAGCAACTTTATGTTCTAAAATGAAAAGCAAAATTTCTATCACTACAATAATATGGTCACTAAAAGGGGGTACTCAAAACAAAAATAAATGGGGAAAAATGATGTTAGCTATCAATAAAATAAACTCCAAATATGCAAATTTTTAGGCAGAATTAAAATTAAATTTGGTTAAAACATGTTATGCTTACGCAGTAAAAAAAGCAATTCATTTTATTGATCACTTTAGATGTGCATTATAATTAACATAATATCTAATAACTAACTTTAAATTAATGAAAGAAATCACTTGAGTAAAACAAAATCAGATAAAAAAAATATTACATGTTGCTCATACTTTTTACAATCAATTAACTATTTTCACAGCCTAAGTAAATTAAAGTTTAAGGTTTTCCTGATATTAGGCACGTCAAATAAACGGTACAGGCTTTTTTCCTCTAGATATCTGGCAACCTATCAATAATACAGAATGGCTTCCAGGTCCTAATCCAAAATCCTACAGAACATAATTAATACTTTGCTATTAGTAACATCATCTCAGAAAGATTTTAACAGCAAGCTATGAAGCTTCACCATACTTCATTTATTGCTATTCAAATAGTAAGTTGGCAAAATTATTTTAAAGACTTCCAGTATAGTCAACTATTTTACTAAGTAGAAACAATGACAGTTCAAATGGACAAAACATACACCATAGCTACCACATACACCATAGGCCATAGCCATTTCAAAACATACACCACAGCTATCACAATTGAAATATGAAAAACCAGGAGGTTCATCCTTGAAAATAGAGTTTCTGGACTGTTTCCATGCTATTCAATGATGCCATTTAAAAAAAAAAAAAATCCTGAAGCATCAGTTTAGGCCAGTTTGACTTAAATTGATGATCCAGGTTATTAAATCATTTATAATATAAATCTGAGGTAAAATATGTAAACATTTAATTAGATAAAATGGAACCTCAAAACAAATGCCTCACATTATGAATAAATTATCTGAACAAAAAATGCCTCAAATAATAAGTGATGTTAAAATCAGCAACATAAAATTTTCAAAGATTTTTCTAGGTAACCTATGCAAATCGTTTTTCACTGTTCAATACTCTTTAACAAAGCCTGGCAGCAAGTGACTCCCAGGATCATGAATTCAGCCTAAAAGAAATTATGGCCAGATTGGGTTGCAAGCAGGAACTTGGACACTTAAGGTTCCTCTCCCCTTATGATACTGTGTCTCTTGGCAAAACCATGGACTAGTAAATTAACAGTGAAGACATGAAGTTATTGCAGTGTCACAAAAATGAGCTCAACATGAAAGAACTACAATTATTAAAAAAAGGTTTTCAGAAGATGAAGAAAGAAAAACTCTAGTTCTCTGATCTGTAAAATTTTGAAAAAATTGTGTTAAATGTGAAGTTTTCATGCAAAGATTTTGCTCTCATAAAGCAAAAGCAAATCTTATTACAGAAATTTATCCTATTACAGATATACATTACAAAGTCCGTAATCCAGACTCGTTGGGACTTCGGCGATTCTGGATTATAGATCATCAATTTAAATCTGGTAAGATGACATGCAGAAATTATATAATTAAAAATATGAAACCGTAATTTATGAAATAAAGAGCAATTATGATCTAAAGGGTATCAAAATTTACAAAAAAAAAAAAAAAAGCTTAATATTTATTTGTTTACTTTAGTAAACATTTCTTTCAATGTTCAAGTTGTTTAAGTTGCTTTGTTTTTTATGTCATAATACATACATTCTCTTTAATTTTATAAACAGACATAATTTCTTGTTCAGTTACAAAGTTCCGCTGTTCAAGTCCTATAATTGCAGTGTCGAGAATACCGACTAAGTTGTCAATCGAAATTTTTTCGTTTTCAATAACATTCTCTATTACTTTCTTCACTATCGGAAGTGCATACGGGTAAACACTTTACTGGCTTTATGCGCATTCATAGCAGATGAGCGTATCAAACGCGCATGCGTAAGTTTGTGGCTTTGAGGTCTGGATTACAGATCATTCCGGATAATGGACGTGCGAATTACGGACTTTGTACTGTATTTATGAATCAAACTTTTATTATGTGAAAGTAAATGCCATTAAGGAATTCCGTCAGTAGTTGATATATGAGGAACAAATAAATGTATTTACTGCTATGTATGCAAGATGTTTTCCAAAGCTCAAACAAAATAGGAGAAATGCAGCCATAAGCTTAAAGGAATACAAAACTTTTTGATGCCATATAAAATCAGTCTTCTCTTTACAAAAAAAGAAAGAAAAATTATCAGTTGTTGAACATATTAATAAAACAGCAAATTGATGCAGAAAAGCTGTATTGTGGAGCCATTTTACAGCATGCCATAGCCACTGTTAAATTATTAGCAACATTTCACAGCCACAAAGAAACGCATATTCAAATTGGAAAAAAAAAAAAAAAAAAAAAAAAAAAAAAAAAAACCGATATTGATTATCCAGCAGTCTTTTTTAGCTTTTTAGAAATTTATTCACAAACATTTAGCGATCCATATGGTGGACTATTTATCACACATGATATGTGAAGAATTTATAAGTGTAATGGGATGTGAAGTCCAGAAATATTTAATTTCTGAAGTTCACAAAGCAGTTTATTACAATGTAAACTCTACTCTATTTGATGAATGTAGCTCTATTTTGAGATTTGTTAATAAAAATGAAAATATAAATCAACAGTTTTTTTTTTTCCTAATGAAAATCACGATTCTTAATATATTTAGAAGAAATACTTCTGGAATTTTTTAAGTGATTAATTGATAGACATAAAAACTGTAAGAAGAAAACTTACGATAATGTGGCAAATACAGTGAATTGAAAGCAAGAACAGATAATCATATTCATGCACTAACCATGAGCTAGCCGCACCTTAAATTTACAAAATTGTTCAATAGAATCCTGTACTGGGGCATTATTTTATTTTGATTTTGTTCCAAAATTCAATTTTGAAAAAATATAAATGTCCATAGATTTTGCTAAATATTTCTCGGCATCTACTTACAATGGAATACATTTATATATATGCATGACACATACTCAATCTCCTTATAATAAAATGAACAAGTGACACTAGATGGGTATCAACAGTAGATGTAACTTCAGATTAAAATCTTATTAAAAATCTTAATTATTAGAATATTAAAGAAGCCTTATTCAAATTAGTATGTTCAATGATGAGAAATTAATTTGATGATGAAAAACTGATAAGCAAATGGAGATGGAAAAACTTGTTAATATTTCAATGAATATGAAACAGCATTATTAACAGTTTTATGGGATAAATTACTATAAAATATAAATAGTAGAAGCAAATCACTACAAAAATGCAGTACAATTTATTGTATAACTTTCGAACTTTATCATGAATGTCAGGAACAACTGTGATGATTTTGAGAACAATGTTAATTTACTAATGGAAAATCGAAACAACCAAGAGACAAGAATTAAAAGAAAATTGCAGTTTGAAGAAACAACTCTGAATGAAGCATATTTTACTGTGAAATAAAATTTTATGCTAAATACCCATAATGTTACTTGTGGTGTATTAATATCTGAATTGCAATGACATACCAAAAGTTTCTGGTTTTTTTTGGGGGGGGGGATATTAGAATGCCTGTCATTCAATTTAATGTATGCGTGGAAAGCATATGTACAAAATACCAAAATGTTATGGATATTAAATATTTTAAAGATGAAATTGTTCATTTTATTGCATTTATAAGAGAAAAAAATAATGTCAATCTTGTTGATATGTACTAATTGCAGGTTTGCAATCTACATTTTTGAATATAGAAATAGTTCTAAAAATATTTCTGAAACTTCTTGTTTGCAAGTGGAGAACAATAATTTTCATTTCTTGAGAAGGTTAAAAATTACTTAAGAAATTCCTTATCACAATAGAATTTAAGTAGATTGTCTATGATGTTTATTGGAAAATATTCAGTTATTAGAACACCATTTGTTTACATTATTTTATATTCCAAATTAAAACCAAATAATGTTACTTACTACAAGCATCAATGATAAATATTTGCAATCAATTTAAATAAATATATTTTTCTCAAACTATAGCTATTAATATTACATAAAACAAAGTTACCTATTTGTTTTCAATCACCTAATGAATATAGACCTAAACTGAAATCAGACAGACATAACTACTACACTTAGCATTACTCCTGCATATTATACATCAAGGTTCATACACATTTCTGCACATGAAAATTAAGAACTTTTAAGGATTTTTAAGGACCATTAATGAAAAAAATTATGGACCCATTAACAAATGGGAACTAAATAAATTCAATTAAAGATATCAGCTATGCCTGAACTTCACTTTTGTGATACCATCCTAAGAATAAAATAGATCCACAAGTAGAATGCATTATTATTAAACATAATTATAAAACAAATTTGAGAATAAAATTAACTTTATAAAATTTATCAGGTAGCATTAAATATTTTAATCTTATAATAGTTGGACATATTTTAAAAAAGATTAGTGACATTTCATTCACAAGTTACTAGTCTAGCTTAATACTGATTTCTTCTTTTATGTCTTATTTTGTAACGTAGTTGCTCATTTTAGAGGCTTAGTACATAGCAATTAGATTTTATGTCAAACGGCATAGGATAAAATAAGAAGTAAGATCATAATCAGCATGATTCGTTACAGAAGAGTGGCTGTTGCCACCACTGCTGCTTGCAGTGGCCTGCTGATCAGAACAAATGTAAGCATGGTTGGAAAGTTTAGAAAGTTAGGTGTGCTCTGCCTGTCTGGAGCAGTTAGTGTCATAACTTCGTGTAGAGTTCCAGGGTTGTAACCCAGTTAATATATTTTAAGGTTCTAATAAGCCACTAAAGTACCAGAGGTGATAAGTTGTTTTGCATTATTTTAAGTCTCACTAGATGCAAAGAATTAAGTTTTACATTAATTTGTACATTTTAGTGCTGTAGCTTGAGACCACTGTAAAGATTAATGA